TGGGGTCATTTAAAAAATAACGTTTATTCAACACCCGTAAATAGTAGAGAGGAACTTCTGCTGAGGCTAACACAGAACTGTGACCATCTCCGCAATAATCACGGAATATTATTTCAAGTGCACCGGGAAAACATTCGTAGGATTAGAAAGTGCATTGAAGTACGGGGTGCTCATTTTGAACATCTACCGAAGTAACATTTAGGTACCTTTGTTCATTGTTGAATGTTCTTTGTTGCATGTCTTGTAAGTAAGTTATTTTTCAAATGTTATTTTTAATTGGTCACTACTTGCTCATAAAGTATAGCCAACCCGTTCAAAGATTTCTGGACTTGATAAAGTTAAAGAAATTAAATGCATGAAATAATATGTAAAAAAAATAAATTTTAATTGTTGTTGTATTTGTTACCAATTTTTTTCAAAACCGATTTATCTCGCAAACCGTTCATTTTTTCGAAATAAATAAAGAGTACCATTTTTAAAGAAAAACCTTCAGAGTATCTAATAATAATATTTTCAGTTTGATAAAATTACTTCTGTCAAAATTTTGAGAAAAATTGTGATAGGGCCAGTCCGTTTCTGGACACCTGATAATAGCAAAAAGTTGATTTTAGCATCAAATCGTAGAGCTCCATGTGTAATACAACGTACGAAAATTTTATTAAAATATACAGGGTGGTTTCAAAGTTATAACCCTAAACGTTAATTTCTAGGTACCCCTTTGACCCCCCATAACTCCGTTAGGGGGCACATTAGGAAAAAAAATTATAGGAAGGACTAGTTTTATTTTGACCTCCCCTATACACTCCAGAGAGATTAGGAGGTACTTACCGGACACCCTGTATATATTTTTAGTTACGATTGTCTTAATAATCATCTGGTTCATTTAACCGCTATCCCAATTCGCTAAATTGATTTTACTATACATCCTCCTTATCGCGAGTCCCCATCCAATATCGCAACCGTTTTCAGACGTGAAAAGTATCTCCTACCGCCATATGCTAATTCCTCAGGAAGAAAGTTTCGGGCAACAACTAGCAGATCCGCCAGATCACACGGTATGACGACGGAACAATCGGGAGCCGATAAAAATCTGACGGTGAAAAAGCGAAACGGAAACGGTGGCATTCTCTCTTTATTGTCTTACATTCTCGGCACGCGGTCCGAGAATTTGTAAAAAGTCGGCCAACGCACACGGGCGTAGTCGGGGGGAATTATAACAAGTAAAAAAAGGATTGTTATAATGTAGTGGTGAATTTAAGTTTTACAATTTGTCCAAATTGGAATCACAGTTATCTTCACGATAAACGGCGTTATTTCACCAGATGTTGGCCCGTGTCTAAAAATAAAGCTTAATATGGCCGACATGACAGTATGGTTGCGACAAAACGTTAACAATACTGGAATAAATATCTGCATTACTCCGAATAAACCTCTCGAAACAGCCGACGGAGTTTCTGTGCTTTATTTACGTTTATTGCGGTATAGTTGTTTTGTTTATTGCCTTGTTTACTTCGAATAATACGCTACAGCTGTTCCCATAACGTATGGGCTGATTGTGGTTACAGCAAAATGAATGACATTGTCCCAAATCGACAGTGCTCTGGAAAACATACTAAAATTGTATTTTTTTCTTAATTATACAGTGGCAGCGACAATATCGGACGTTTACTGCGATTTGTCATGTTTAATTACGACTTGTCATTCCCTCTCGACTCCAGCAGTCGCCAATATGTCAGTTTTCTGTTAAGTAAGGTCGATTTATTTATTTTTTTCACTTGTTTGCACCTTACAGTTTAATACAATGATTTCGGTTAAGACTAAGGTACCTAGGTACCTACAACACCCTGTATATCAAATGAATCACCAGAGCCTGTCACCGCATAAAATAGACGGTATATTTCCAATTAACTAATCACCCCCATTAGTGGCAGCTCTGCCTATCATGCCAGTCGATTAATTCCAACAAATTACTCTGGATTGTTTTATAATTATAACGATCGTTCTCTAGGACTTTACAAGTAATTGCGGATCTTTATGGCTAGGTATTTATCTCGATAACAGTAAATCATAACTTATTACAACCGGCATTTTCTGGTCGGTCGTTATTACGACTAATAATAATCGAGTGGGTTATGTAAGTAGATTGCAATCTGGCGTCTGGACATTATGCAGAAATGCTCAGAGAGAGGAATGTTGTGAATAGCTGTATTAATTACGCTGAGTTTGTGCGACGCACGTGTTTTGTTTTGTCACGCAGAACTCTTTGCTCATGAATCATTTTTTTCAATCAATCTTAAGCGTGTGCACATATTTTTAACGACGGTGTAGTTTACTGCGAAGAACAATTCTTATAAGGAATTGTTTTGCGAAAAAAAACTTTATTTTTTATTAACGTTTGTAACGGTACTCTGTACGTGTTTCAGGATACACCCTGTACACGGCTTTTTCCTTATTCCGCGCCGAATCAGATGTGAATGGCACACCTAGTAATCAAGAACAGGAAAACGCTAGTAAGACAAAACCTCGACTTCCTGTCCGGCCGAGTAAAATTGGAAGTCTCAGTTTGATTTGCAAATAAAACGATTGTGACATGCCAGCCTCCAAGATATTTTATAGGAGCTCTAAAACGTTCTTTTATTGTTTCTATTTCCGACGGTGACTGCGATTTTAGTTGAAGTGCAGATAATGTTTCACTTCAAACAAAATAAATAATAAGAAACACTATTATGAGAGGGATATTATGCAATGTTATGCATGCTATAAAGTTTCTCAATAGCAGAGTAAAATGTCTCCTTCATTCTTCTGTACATTTTTTTAATGCTAAACATATTTGTACTTAAGATGAACATTTGTTAAAGTACATTACAGCCGTTTATATTTTAAATATGTACTTATTGTCTATTAAGTATTTACATTTTAATTATTGCGATCTAATGTTGGTTATTATGTTTTCCTTGGTAAGTTATTTGTGTTATTAAATTATGTTGAAATATCACACCTATTATATTGCTTGCAAATTTTCTCCGCATAACAATAAATTCGTTCTGTCAAGTTTAGTGTATTTCTTTATTTAGCCGGAGACCTCCCGAAGCAAAAAATTGTTTCTTTTATAATAGACTCCGGTGTTAATAAATTGCTTGTAGATATTTATGACATGTCTATAGATTTGACGTCTTACGGAATATATTACAATTTATCTATCAGTCTTATCCTAGCTTAAATACTAAATAAATAATAATAAATGTATTTTATAATGTAACACGATTGGCCTCGCGAATGATCAGATCTGTGCTATAAGATACAGCTTAAATTATGCCTTTTTTTTTGTAAACGTATATTAGAGATATAAAGAAAATGGCGTAGCATTTTTTTAGCGTTATAAATATATCATTTACATTAATAAGCGAAAAATAAAGAGACATTTAACTGGTGTGACATGTACTTTCTTTTAATTATGTTTTATCGTCGGGAAATAAACAGAGAAGTCATTGGGACTTTTAACTTGAATGTCGGATTGCGAAATATGTAGGTGCAAGTTTAAAAATAGCCAGAAGTGTCGATTTAATATTTATCGATTTGAACTTAAGCCTTTTATTAATCAGGTTTTATGTGACGCAGACAAAATGCTTTCGCAGGAGAAAATATCGGTAGTAGAAAGTCGCGTGATAAATATAATTATTAATGACAGCATTTCATGCTGACATTTTGCAAATGTCGAGATAAGTCATGGGAAATAATTAATGAATTTATCTTAATCGATGTCGTTTGCCTTCTTAATTTGGAAAATGCCTGGTGGATGCACTAAAACGTATTCAAAATCATTAAAATGATTAGTTTTATCAACAATAAACCTTAATAATAAGAAGAAATCATGGAGAATAATAATTAATAATTACTTTATACATTAAAATTAGCATTCTTATCAAAAGTACATTTCATGAAATATTGTGTACGTTTTAACGTAGTGTACGTTATAACTGTGTACGTTATATGCAAGTTATATTCAAAAATAGTAAATCAGAATAGTTAATAGTCGCGACATTAGTTAATAGTTAATATTCGAAGGCTTGGCACTTTATATCAGAAGTAGCCAATATGTACGTTATATGAGAGTGTAGTTGAAATATTTGTACGTCATATTTTTTGTTCATAGAATAGTTAATTTTACCTTTAATTGTCTAAAATATTTAGTATTTATACCAAAAAGTTAAAATTAGCATTAAAAATTGCACTTTAAGGAATAACGGTACGTTATAATAATCAGTTTATACGTACATTGTATATTTTACTGAGTGTACGTTATATACAAGTTGTATTGATTAACACTAAGAAATACGTACGTACGTTATAACAGTTCACTAATAAGTGCACCTTAATACATCCTGCGTACGTTATAACTTGTTGTACGTTAAAAGCGTGTACGTTATATGCAAGTTGTACTGATAAACATGATATCATCAATGTTATAGTTTGTTATATTTCGAAATAGTAAGTCGGATAATAGTCATTATTTATGTCTTATTACGTTATTTGCTTCACTGTTTTTAGAATTGTATGTATTAGTGTATAAACCAAAATTTAATGATACGTTTTGACAATACACATATGTACGTACATTTTAAGAGATAGTGTGTACGTTATAACAGCGTACGTTAAAAACATGTACGTTATATGCCAGCTGTGTTGATAAACATGATTTTATCAATGTTGTAGTTTTTATGTTTCGAAAATACTAAGTTAAAGAATAGTGAACTCTTATATATTTTTTTATATCGCTTTTTACTTTATTTTTTTTAACGTATACATCAAAACATATTTTGGAAAGCATTCAAATTGATACTTTCAAGAATACACTTTAATGAAAAATGATACGTTTAAACAGTACACTTAATGTATATTTTAAAAAATAGTTTGTGTACGTTATTACATAGTGTACGTTAAACGCATGTGCGTTATATCGTCTCCAAGGTGGTTTCATTAGTGTTTTATTTTTGTTCCAGAAATAGCAAAAGTGAGGGCTAGCCTATTTCAAATAAATGGAGTTAAGAAAGAGCCCTTAATCCTGCCCGATCCTGATGGTCCTGTTACGACGCTGACGGAGAAAGTATACGTACCAGTAAAGGAACATCCAGACGTAAGTATGCCTTTTTCTGTACAAGTAGACGCTCGTTCGTGATTTCCAGCACCGTTAGCTTAGTTCAAACGATTTATTCGTGGTGGTTTGATTTTTTCGTCATCCTGGTCGCTGACGAGTAAGTTTTACGCCGAAACGGCATCGGCGGTTGCAACGTCTCGGAGGTATTTTAAATTTTCCAAGTATGCCGGCCTGGCGATAATAACTGCACGCAGATGTCCTTTTAATTGATTGCAATTATGTTGAAACGCCATTAGAATAAGTAAGCGTTCGCTTTTCCATTAATTTTTTTGCAATAACGGGTCGCGCGGACACCCGACGAAAGTCGACGGGAGATTCTCTGAAATTCTACTCGAGGAATATGCCGCGTCGCATATTTCTGCGTTACGAAATGGTCGTAACGACCAGAGCTGGTGGATGCCAACAAAATAAAATGTGTGTTAGCGAGGCGTCGCAGAAATTTCATTTTTTTTTGTTTTTTTTTGCCGCAGGATTTATTTTGGGACCGAAACGTGGAGCGTTACGTAATTTTATTGCAAGTGTCGTTTTATTCGTCGAAGACTGGTTTCATAACATCCAAGAGAATAAAAGTGGTACCACTTAAACCTTGTTTTGAACTCAACTCAACTCAACTAAATATTTTCCGCTCCACTTTTATTGAAACGATGGAAATATGTACAGGGAGTCTCAAACTAATTCATAATAAACTTATTGCCTCAGTTTAGTTTTATTAAAATTAATATGAATGACGTTAGAGACTACAGTAGTCCAGCAATGTAAGGGTTGTAACTACTACAACTTCAGTAATTTTTTTCTCGGAAACCGTAACGATTTTACAATTTTTTTTTTACAATTTTGACTGCATTTTTCTTGTCGCATCTTTTTCGAAATTTTTTTTGGAGAAGTCGTGTATCACCCTGTATATTTTTCCAAACGTTTTGATCTTTTTTACCTCTAAACCCGGTCCTGGATTTAACAATTTCGGACCGACCTCTAGTCGTAACGGTTTTTGTCCGCTCTTTTTCGTCTCGTGCTATTTTTAGACTACTCCGCGACTATTTTTTTTGTTGCTATTTTATCGCTGTTTTTTTTTTTCAGTTCAACTTCGTGGGGAGGATCCTGGGACCGAGGGGAATGACTGCCAAACAGCTCGAGCAGGAGACCGGCTGCAAGATAATGGTCAGAGGGAAGGGCTCGATGAGGGACAAAAAGAAGGTGTGTACCTCACGAATTTTTAACGCAGGATACAGTCGCTTAAATTAATTCTTTTGTTTCTCAGGCATTTATGTTCGACGGTACGCCGCTTACGTAACGGCGTGTCGTCTCGTATGCATGTCTAATTCGGTCTTAAGGCCTATGGGCGGCATTGTTATGCCGCGGGCGTCGGGATCGCCGGGGAAGGGCCAGGGCCGGACCGGCCCATTCGGGAGTATCGGTATTACGCGGAAAAAATGTCATGATGTTGAATCCGGGCCATCATTAAACATTTTTGTTGTTATTAATTCTTTAATAACTAGTAAATATGTCGTTTTTCGTTATAATTCATTGAATTGCCAAAATAATTAACGCGAAATCACGCTAATTGTTGGAAGTACAAAGGGGTCTTTTCAGCGACGTCGCTCATTGGAATATACGCAAGTTAATGGGGAAATCAAATATGGAGCCTTTTTTTATGGTGGCCATATTGAATTTTCGTATTTTTACCGTTTCGTTTTCCTCGAAGTACCATGTTTTCCATTTCCAAAACACTTCAAAGTAGTGATATTTGCCCCACAATCTGCTGAGAAAGTAGCTGTTGATCAGCAAAATTAATGATCAGTTTCAGGATTTTCTAGTTTCAGGAATCTGACAATATTTGTCGATATCTTTCCGAAAGCGACTGTCTGTTGTTTTCTGCGAACGCAAATTTGAAGTATTTTCGATATATTATAGTCCAACCAAATTATACTCGGGGAAAAAAAAAATTGTTATCTGGACTTTTATAAGTGGAAATGGTAAAAGGGCTTATAATAAATCTAAAAAAAAAATAAATGCGTGAGCAGTGGTGACGGAGGGTTGATTTGGGGGGTTGAAAAGTAGTGAAAAATTGTATCATCGGGATTTTTGGCGAATGTTGAAGTCAAACAAAAAAGTATCTACTGCAAAAGTTGTAGATCATGCAAAAATCTGCAACTCTTGTAGATACCACTTTTTACGATAACCTCAAAATTTCCGAGAAAAATGCGAAAAACAGTTTTTTTTTCTGATTTTTCGTTTTTTGTTTCTCATTTCCGCAAAAATATCTTAATTTTGACGAAACTTGGTGAATGTATACCTTTCTGTCTTAAATAATCACAAATTTTTTTAGATAAAAAAATGAAGAAGTTTTCGAGATATTAATTTTTTCTGAAACACTTTCTGCCGATGATAATTTTTTTCATTTTGACATACTTTTTGCTGAAATAAATCTATAATCAAGTTCAAAAACATGCTCTAAAATGCAAAAAAATACAAAATGACGCAACAATGAATTTTTCAGTAATTGTTGATAATTCGTTTAAATTTAAAAAAAAATCAAAAACTGTCTCATTGTTTGACCCAAAACTTTATTTTTGTACAGTATTGCTGTAAACATCTAAGTCGAATTACAAATGCACGAATGATAAATTATCTCTGGATGATTTGAGATTTCAGCAATACAAAGTATTAATTAACTGCAAAGTCTACTGTTGACGCAAAACCCGAAAACCTGAAATTTTACATAATCGTTAAATTTTTTTTGTGGCTTTATTTGAAAACGAATTTTAAAATAAATGCATATTTACATTGCCACTTTTTTGCTCTATCCAATGGCGTCAACATTTCTGCAATCCGACGTTTCCTCTTCGAGGGGCCATCATCAGGTTAATTTTTTACATATGTCGCTGCTATTTATGCCAAAATCTAGTCATTTTTAATTCTGAATTATATGATATTACTATTGTAATCGCTTAAAAAGGTTTTTAGCTTGTTTTAGCTATCATTTAAAATTTTTCCTAAGTACGGCTCTGAACGCTTTGAAAATATCTATTGGAGGAAATCATAACAGTATAAAAGTCGATATCTGTATTATATCCAACAATTATTTTTAATCAATAATTTAAAAAGTTGTACCTACGTAAAATAATACGAATTTATAAAATGTTTTATTATGTATTTCTAATTAGTATTGCTAATAGTATAGAAAATCGTCAAATGGACAAAAAATAAACAATGACTTTTTTGATTTAGAGCTTAATTCCAATGTTACAGGGAAAAATATGTCGAAAAACGGGTCATTTTTCGTTGTTTTTGTATGTTTGTTGTTCCCCTGAATTTAGCAATGGTTTTTTGGAATAAGCAAACTCGGATTCTTATTCTAATATTTGGGATTTTTCTGTGCAACAAAATAGATTACCTCGAACACAAACGCCAAAGCCTACTTTTACTACTCTACCGCCTGGACTATTATTCAAAATCGTGACAGGAATTGTGAATGGAACCTGAATCAGTAGAATATCGCTCACGACGACTGACGTGTTGACAACAGAAACTTGAAAATTTGCCAGGCAATTGTTAAATTTTAGTTTATTTTTCGAACTTCGTGTCCTAGGGCCAGCCCGCCCCTGTCCTCTCACGCGCGATTCCACGTGACATTCGCTCACAGCCATCTACAATCCTGTGATTATCGAACTCGTGGTCGACGACATTTTTATTGGCAATTCGTAGTTGACTTCGATAAACACAGCTATTAGTATTTCCCGATGTCATTGGGCCGTTCGTTGCTGCAACGGTCGTGGCATATGGAACAAGGCTCGCAAAAAAAAACAGCGCGAAATAAGACGTTTTACGGTATAATTAAAACAACATTAGGCCTTTAGGTTATTGATAAATAATTGTTCGATATGCGTAATTTTCTGTAAACTTTATGGTTATTGATATCAAACAGGACCGTCTTTAGTTTGCATGTCTCATATTTAAAGTTCATTGACCTGTATTTGGTTGAAAAAATAAATTAAGTGTTTTAATTTTACTAAATTGTTTTATATTTTGAAAACGACTGAAAATGTTTTTCTAGATCGAAATTCTTCATCGAAAACATGTCAAGAGCAATTAATTTCGTAAATCTAGTTCTATTTCGTTCGGAAATCTCTGATGCGGACTCGACGTAAAAATCCTAGCGTTATGGCACGGGTCCAACTTCGAAAATCCCAAAGTCAGACCGATATTATAAGAAAAAAAAAAAAAAGGAAAACAAATAAATGGGAGTTTAAAATAGCCCTCTCTAACGTTGCCTCGGCTTGTTGTTGAACCCGTTCTATTCTCTATTTAATTAAGTGTATTTTTAAATGTGTTTCAAGTATTTTTGACGCTAACGCAGACTTGTTTTTTTTCCACGCAGCCCTACCACTGAAAAACCTGTGTAAGTAATTTTAAGAATCGAAGGAACTTTTTTTTTCTTGTTAGGAATCATTTATGCTTCCACTTAGTCGTAGGTATTTAAAGAAACATCAAGTAGATTTGTCAAGTCGTCCGTTTGATCATAATCTGTGCTGATCAAATTGCTAATGAGCCTGGTTATTATATTTGGCATCTTGAATAAACAAATTGGGAATTAGTGCAATTTGCATAAATTAATGAAGTTAAATATCCCATTTTTTTAGCTTATTTTGACTGTCATTCACGTTTTATTAATCAAAAAACATTTTTTTTTTACTTCGGAGCGTTCTTGTTCGGTTCTTTTAATAAATATTTTTAAAAGCTCGTCGTTGCTTACGAATAATTAAAATTATACACCATCCATAGGTCGTTAATAAAACTTTTACGAATGCTAGTTCGTAAATAAGGTTTAAAAATATACACGATGAGAGATTTTAGTAGGTGCAAAAGCTTTATTTTAGAACGACGTGATTCAGTGAGTATGTTTTTTTTAACCGAAATAATACCTATAATCATTCTTCGAAGAAAAGTAAAGGGTATTGTATTTTATAGACTGAACCTGGGTGGCCGTGGATGAATGACAGTTAACAGTTAACAGTACGTGACATTAAAGTTCCCTGATATCAGCATTGCCAATTGTACATTAAGAAAAGCCGCTACGGAAATAACTATACAGGGTGTCCCAGAAAATGTGGGCAAGCTTTCGGATTTATACAGGGGACGTTAAAATAACATGACAAATTCCTATAAAAATTTTCCCTAAAGGGCCCCCCTACGGAGATACAGGCCCCTAAAGGACATCCCTGAAAATCGATTTTTTTTGATAACATTGTGTGATGTAATTTTGAAAAAATATCAAACTTTTAAACTTTTTTTTAAATTAAAAAAAAATTCGAGATTGAAATTCAATCTTAAATTGTAAAAAAGAAAAAAAATTTTTTGTTTGAAAATGAACATTTTCAAAATTGAATTTTTCTTAAGGACGCCCCTGAGATTCTATTTTTTTTTAATAACTGTAATTTAATTTTGAAAAAATATCAAAATTTTCAACCTTTTTTAAATTAAATTTTTTTTTTTTTCGAAATTTGAAATATTCAATCTAATATTGCAAAAAAAGAACAAAAAATTTTATTGGAAGTGAAAAATTTGTTTGAAAATGAACATTTTCAAAATTGAATTTTTCTTAAGGACGCCCCTGAAATTCTATTTTTTTTAATAACTGTAATTTAATTTTGAAAAAATATCAAATTTTTCAACCTTTTTTAAATTAAAATTTTTTTTTTTCGAAATTTGAAATATTCAATCTAAAATTGTAAAAAAAGAACAAAAAATTTTATTGTAAGTGAAAAATTTGATTTCTTTTTCAAAATTAAATTTTTCTAAAGGACCCCTGAATATCGATTTTTTTTTAATAACTAATTTAATTTGGAAATAATTTAAAATTTTTACTTTTTTTCAATTACAAAAAAATTGTTTTATTTTTCATATCACGAATTTAATTTTGAAAAAATATCAAATTTTTCAACTTTTTTTATATAAAAAAAATTCGAGATTTGAAATTCAATCTTAAATTGTAAAAAAGAAAAAAATTTTTTTGTTTGAAAATGAACATTTTCAAAATTGAATTTTGAGATTTTATTTTTTTTTTAATAACTAATTTAATTTTGAAAAAATATCAAATTTTCCAACTTTTTTTAAATTAAAAAAAAATTCGAGATTTGAAATTCAATCTTAAATTGTAAAAAAGAAAAAAAATTTTTTGTTTGAAAATGAACATTTTCAAAATTGAATTTTTCTTAAGGACGCCCCTGAAATTCTTTTTTTTTAATAACTAATTTAATTTTGAAAAAATATCAAATTTTCAACGGTTTTTAAATTAAAATTTTTTTTTTTTCGAAATTTGAAATATTCAATCTAAAATTCTAAAAAAAGAACAAAAAATTTTATTGTAAGTGAAAATTTTATTTTAATAACACTAATTTAATTTGGAAATAATTTCAAATTTTTACTTTTTTTCAATTTCAAAAAATTTGTTTTATATTTCATAATACGAATTTAATTTTGAAAAAATCAAATTTTTCAAATTTTTTTAATTTTCAAAAAAAAATTTTTTCGAGATTTGATATAAAAATTTTTTTTATAAAATTTTCATATCAAATTTTAAATTTCAAAAAAAAAATTTTTCTCGAGATTTGAAATATTCAATCTAAAATTGTAAAAATTACATTTTTTTTATAAAATTTTGAAAAATTGAATTTTTGTAAGGACTAATAATTTTGAATAAATGTTTTTTAATTTCAATTTTTTTTTCTTGAAATAGTCATCTAAAATTGCAAAAAAGGGGACAATTTTTTTTTTATAAAATTTTGAAAATTTTGAGTTTTTCAAATTGAATTTTTCTTTTCAAAATTTAGATTTTTTTTTTTTTTCAATATTTGATGAGTATTTAACGTGAAATTGTGATAAAAATAACGCAAAATAATTTGTTTCATCCTAATCATAAATAGTTGTTTTACATCCGCTCAACTGCTTTGTGTAAAAAAATGTTTCAGTATTTTGTTTCTATGCGTCAATTTAAGCAGTATCAGTTTCGCCAGGGCAAAAAATACATCTTCACTTTTGCGTGCCCAAAAAGTATAAGTGAAAGGCATTCACACAGTAAACAAAGTAGGCACCTCGGACAATTGACCCACAAGAAGAAAATCTAACAGATGGCGTATCCTCTGCCGGCCATGGGAACCAAGACGTGGTCGTAATAACGGAAATCGAAAAGTTCAAGCAACTTTTTACCACGTTGTTTGTTCGGAGTCTTGCGAAATTGTTTTGAAAAAAATATATATGCGACAAAGTCGGAAGTGGCGATCAGTCAATATCGCTTTCCATTGCCTGGGTGTGTGTTTATAGGATATTTTTTTTTCTTGTGGCAGGAGGATCAGAACAGAGGGAAGCCCAACTGGGAGCACCTGTCAGATGAACTTCACGTACTATTGACAGTCGAAGACACAGAGAACAGGGCGCAGGTAAAACTACAAAGGGCCGTCGAAGAAGTTAAGAAACTACTCGTACCTGTAAGTAATGCCATAATTTTGATTTTTTTATACTTCTTGTTTGTATACGTCGATATTATTCCATGTTTACCATATTTACAAAGCAGGCCATGCTAAATCGATCGTTGTAACGATTTTTCCGTCATAAACTACTGTAAACAAAAAAAAAACAGAATATTACATGTTGTTTATATTTTGTCAAAATGCCAAAACGTAAACAAGTTATATTTAGAGATGTGTCAACCTTTTTTTGTTTATTGAAGCAGCTCTGTGTCCATTGTCGTCAATACAAGAAATGCCATTAAATTTTATCATCACTGACGTCCTTCGGTCCAGGACGGACCCATAAACAGATTAAGGCTATTCATTCGCTGCAATTTTATCGGTAATTACAAATTCCCTTGCGAGAACATAAAAAAAACTGGCCGAGTCGTTTCAATTTAGGTCAGTAATTTTCTACATGGGTTTCCAATAGAACCTGTTCCTCGGAGCGGTAAAAATTAATAATGGATACTGTGGGTCATTATTTCTGAATATTTATTCTATCCGACGCGCTGCATATGTTAATTAACCTACTAATTTATTGTTATTTATTGTAATTGTTAGAAATAGAGATATAAGGCGGACGGGTGGTCTACGATCGCTTACCGATCTTTCACTCTCTTCATGTAATCATCTGTAACGTACGATTTGGTACAACACACCAAAGAAGCAGTTGTATAATTAAAACAAGCGTTTGAAAATTAATTTGTACGTTATAACAGGGTATACGTTAAATCGTGTACGTTATATGTAAGTGTTGCTTTGTTAACTTTGTAATTCAATTTATACTGTTATACCCGTCCATAACGTTCTATCAAGGTACTTGTTCACAATTCACATCGATACGTTATATCATATACGACGTGGAAATAATTAAAATATACGGTGATAGTTTAAAAAATAGGACGTTAATAAAGATTTTAGCACTATAAAATACAAATTTATTAATTAAACACATCGAAGCTGAGTAATTTGCACGTTATAACAGTGTACGTTAAAACAATGTACGTTATAAGCAGTTTTACTTTGTTAGTTTTGTAATTCAGTGCGTCATACATATTTAGTGAACACATACAGTGACAACAAGTCGCGTTTATTACGTTCTCATCAATTCAATGCAAATTGGTGCGTTCAATCAGATGCAATCAAATTATAATGTACCAAAAAGCAGTAGTGTAATTAAAACGAAGTCTTGAAAAAATAAAAGTTACTAATTTTGTACGTTAATAGATTATACGTCAAATCACCGTGTACGTTATGTATGGCGCCTTGTTAAGTTTGTAATTCAGTGTATACCGTTATATTATATACGTACATACGCACAGAGAACTGTAAAGCTAGTCTATAACGTCCTCGTCTGTACAATTGACATCGGTACGTTATATCACATTTAACGTACAAAATTTGTTGTAACGTGCCAAAGATCAAAGTCAGTATCACTTAAAAAAGTGGGTACTGTTGTTTTAAATGCATACATACAGTGATAGCAACGTAATTAAAACTTTTATTGTAAAACTAATAAAATTAAAAACATTAACAGATTATAAAGTTGCGGCAGAACATTATTGCGTTATTAGCGAGTGCCGTGAAAGCGTTTTATATGAACCTGCTAATTTATTAGCTTTTTAATTTAATGTACACATGCGGTATACAGTGAAACCTTCTTATAAAACGATGTAGGTATATCAAACGTAACAAATATTGGTATAACGCACGAAGAACGTTAATACATACTTACAATTATTAGCAAAAGGATTTAAAATGAATCTTTTTATGTAAAAATGATTAGAATTTTCGGTTGAGCAGTACTTTTTCGTCGTCATAATTTTTTTTAAAGCCACAGGGAGTTTTGCGGTTATATTTTTAGATACATTTCTTTGGTTTTAATATTTAACATTTATTTTGTAGCAAGCCGATGGAGAAGATGAACTGAAGAAGAGGCAGTTGATGGAACTGGCCATAATAAACGGAACCTACAGAGATTCCACCTCTAAGGCAGCATCAGTAGCAGGTATAGCTTTTTTAATATACACAAGATTTAGAAACTTTTTTTGTTGTTTTGTACCGTAACATTGAATCAGTTTTAGAACATATGTAAGTCTTTTAGTTGTGTTGGCCAATAGAATTATCGTTGTTTTTTGTTATAGTTACTGTGTCTATTTCTTTTCACTTCCCAACCATAATTAATGGATTTTTTAGCATGAAGATCTAAAATTTTCTTCTTTCAAACCAATATTTTACAAAGTAACATTTTTACTTCCACAATATTATTTTACTTCAAAATTTGTAGTCAAACTAAAATTTATAATTCCAACAACACATTTTTTATTGACTACTTCCTAAATAATCATTAAACTAAATCTCTTCAAATGAAATTTTCTGACTCTAAAACAATATTTTAAAGGTTAAACTAAAATTTATACTTTCAAATTAAAGTTTCTGGCCCAAAAACAGTGTTTCATAAGTCAAACTAAAATTTATTCATTTGAAACAGCACTTTTTACACAATCATACAAAAATTTTGTCTCCAAAACAATATTTTACACGCTAAACTAAAATTTCGTGTCCAAAAACAGTGAGTTTCTGGCCCAAAAACAGTGTTTCATAAGTCAAACTAAAATTTATTCATTTGAAACAGCACTTTTTACACAATCATACAAAAATTTTGTCTCCAAAACAATATTTTTCAAGCTAAACTAAAATTTCGTGTCCGAAAACAGTGTTTTGTTTCAAGTCAAACTAAAATTTCTCCTTTCAAAACAGTAACTTACAACTTCAAATTGATACATTTGGCTCAAAAGCAATGTCTTATAATTCAGACTAAAATTTTGACTTCCAAAACAATGTTTTCATATCATCGAAATAAAATGTTCTGCGTCCAAAGCAATATTTTTCAAGCTAAACTAAAATTTCATGTCCAAAAACAGTGTTTTGTTTCAAGTAAAACTAAAATTTTCCTTTCAAAACAGTAACTTATGGCATTAAACAACATTTTCTTACATCCAAAACAATATTTTACAACTTCAAATTGACACATTTGGCTCAAAAGCATTGTCTTATAATTCAAACTAAAATTTTGACTTCCAAAACAATGTTTTACAAGCTGAACTAAAATTTCGTGTCCAAAAACAGTGTTTTGTTTCAAGTCAAACTAAAATTTCTCCTTTCAAAACAGTAACTTATAGCATTAAACAAAATTTTTCTGCATTCAAAACAATATTTTACAACTTCAAATTGATACATTTGGCTCAAACTAAAATTTTGACTTCCAAAACAATGTTTTCATATCATCGAAATAAAATGTTCTGCTTCCAAAACAACATTTTACAATTTCAAACTAAAATATTTACGTCCCAAGCTAAATTTTGACGGTCATACCGTCCTAGAAAAATACTGTCTTAATAATTGTATTGGCCAATAGAATTGCCGTTGTATAATTTTGTAATTGTTACGAATTAAAGGGAATTTTTCGTATGAAGGCGACGGCATGGGCCTGACGCTCTCGCTTGTTCCAGCCTGCGACGAGGAGTGGAGGAGGCTAGCCGCCTCCGCGGTGGAGACGCAGCGGCTCCTCTCCCCCGCCATCCCCGGACTGGCGACGCCGCTGCGCAACCCCCAGGCGCCGTTAGGGGCTCCCCTCATCCTCTCCCCCAGGATGTCGGTGCCGACCACGGCCGCCTCCATCCTGAACGGCTCGGCGCCGCCCGGCTCGCTGCTATCGCCCGGCGACCCCCACGGCCTCATCTACACCCCCTACGCGGACTACACGAACTACGCGGCGCTGGCCGCCTCGCCCCTGCTGACGGAGTACGCCACGGCAGACCATTCCGGTGGGTTGTTTGCACGTTGATATCCGACCCGGTAGTTACTCGTAGTACTTAGTTCTTGTCAGACTTGTGCATGTCCGTGCGTTGCCGCGCGCACATTTCAACACGACCCGTAATGGGGCCGTTGCTTAAATGTACGGAGACCTGTTTATATATATTCAGTTAGTAGGCCGGTGACGATATTCTAAGTACGTTGTGAGACCGGATATGTATATATTAATGCTGTTTGCACAATTCTGGATTTTATCGTCTAGGTTTTTTGTTAGGGCTGTATGGTTTTGTTCGCCCATCGAAGGAAGATCTGGAATATTGGAGTGAATACCGATTGCAATAACGACAATTACTCCTAGCGTGTGAGAGAGAGAGAGAGAGATAACGCTTGCTGCGACTCGAGTGAGTAGCGCGGGTCGAGGCGACGTACCGGGTTGCTTCGACCCGGGCCCTCCGAACCCAACAAAAAAAAATTAAAAAAATTCATGGCGATGTTTCAGATCTGTTTCTCTCTTCAATGTCGATGGTAACGTTTAGTCACATTTTATTTTATTACAATATTATATTTCTGTGATACTTTGACCGCTAGCAGGTTAACTTTGTACGTACCGGGGGCAGTACATGGTGCCCGGAATGGAGAACAGTTATTTTGCTTTATTTTTTTTCGCAAGTCATAGCAGATAAGTGTATTTTTTTTTATTTATGTGGTTTTTGTCGGAGACTGTCCGGTGAGTCGGACGTCGTGCACCGGTAGTCTGCCGTCTTTGTTCAGTAAGTCTTTTAAGTCAGAAATGAAAAAATATATGTGGCGGGGCTCGGTGGCTGAAAAGGGTCAATTTATAAATCGAAAAAACTCGGTATTTATGTAAAATACGTAAGTAAATTGCATTTTAGTTCAAAATCGCTGGTTTTGAAGTAACACTTCGAAAAATTAAACTTACAACTGAAGTATAAGCTAAAATTCTAAAACTATTTTATAGCGTCAAGCTAAAATTTCTGAGTCACAAAAACGGTATTTTATAAGTTTAAACTAAAATGTGTAGCTCGAGTATTTTGTAAGTCAAACTAAAATTTACAACTTTCAAAATAATATTTTGCAAATTCAAACTAAAATTTCCGGCCAGAAAACTATATTTTGTAAGTCAAACTAAAATTTACAAGATTCAAAATAGGTCAAACGAAAATTTACAACTTTCAAATTAATATTTTGCAGTTTCAAATTAAAATTTCTTCAAAAAAACAATATTTTGTAATTCAAACTAAAATTTACAAGATTCAAAATAAGTCTAACAAAATTTACAACTTTCAAAGTAATATTTTGCAGCTTCGAACTAAAGTTTCTAACCAGAAAACAATATTTTGTGTCAAACTAAATTTTACAAGATTCAAAATAAGTCAAACTAAAATTTACAACTCAAAATAATATTTTGCAGCTTCAAATTAAAATTTCTGGCCAAAAAACAATATTTTGAACGCCAAACTAAATTTACAACTTTCAAAATAATATATTACATCTTCACATTAAAATTTCTGGTCAAAAAACAATATTTTATAAGTCAAACTAAAATTTACAAGGTTCAAAATAAGTCAAACTAAAATTTACAAGATTCAAAATAGGTCAAACTAAAATTTAAAACTCAAAATAATATTTTGCAGTTTAAAATTAAAATTTCTTCCAAAAAACAATATTTTGTAATTCAAACTAAAATTTACAAGATTCAAAATAAGTCAAACTAAAATTTACAACTCAAAATAATATTTTGCAGCTTCAATTTAAAATTTCTGGCCAATAAACAATATTTTGAACGCCAAACTAAATTTACAACTTTCAAAATAATATATTACATCTTCACATTAAAATTTCTGGCCAAAAAACAATATTTTATAAGTCAAATTAAAATTTACAAGACTTCAAAATAAGTCAAACTAAAATTTACAGTTTTCAAAATAATATTATACAGCTTCAAATTAAAATTTCTAGCCAAAAAAACAATATTTTATAAGGCAAACTAAAATTCACAAGACTTCAAAATAAGTCAAACTAAAATTTACAAGTTTCAAAATAATATTTTACAGCTTCAAATTAAATTTTCTGGCCAAAAAACAATATTTTATAAGTCAAACTAAAATTTACAAGTTTTAAAATAATATTTTACAGCTTTAAATTAAAAGTTCTGTTCAAAAAAAAAATTGTAAAAAACTAAAATTTACAAGTGTCAAAATAATATTTCACAGCTTCAAATTAAAATTTCTGTTAAAAAAACTAATATTTTGTAAGTCAAACTAAAATTTACAAGATTCAAAATAAGTCAAACTAAAATTTACAAATTTAAAAATAATATTTTACAGCTTCACATGAAAATTTATGGCCAAGAAACAATATTTTGAATGCCAAACTAAAATTTATAAGATTCAAAATAAGTTAAACTAAAATTTACAAGTTTCAAAATAAAATTTTACAGCTTTACATTAAAATTTCTGGCAAAAAACAATATTTTGAATGCCAAATTAAAATTTACAACTTTCAAAATAATATTTCACAAATTTTTAGTATCAAATGCAATTTTTACTTCAAGCCAATGTTTTTGCTGTACGATTAAATTTTGTACTTTAAAATCAAAGTATCGACGTAAAATTTTGACGATTCAAAAGACGATGTCCATGGCACACTCTTATTATAGTGTCGAATTTTTTGATATTTTGGAAAGCTTTGTCTAAAGCTACGGTCATTGGTGACGTCCTTTTCAAGCCGCCAGAATCGCCCCCCTCCCTACATCACACATTATGTACATATTTTTTAATTTTATATATGAAATAAGAAACTTAACATCAGAGAGCCTAGTTAAGTAAATTTTTTTATTATTATTATTATGTATGAACACAACATGCATTTATATTGTTACCTTAAGATATTTATTTCGATTAAGGTTGTAGATCTTTTTTTTTAAAAAAATAGCAAAAGTGTAATTTCACGAAACGAAAAAACAAAAAAAATATAGTTATATTTGAATTTTCTAATGGTAGTGTAAAGGTAAATTATTATCAATATTATTATTATTATTATTATCGAGATGCTTTAATTGTTTTTTTAAGTAGCTACAAAGTAGTATTTGGTAGATATTAGGTTGAATTCGGCGTAGCAGTTCCTTTTCTCGACGGCGGCAGAGCCCTGGAAAAAAATTTTAGACGACACATTTGATCTCGCAATAAACTTTGCGTTAGCAAGTTCTTGCGCGATAAATGTAGCAAGTTTTTGCGCAATAAATTAGAATCGATGGTAAGTGGACTGTAATTTTTTTGGTTGTGGTGTCCCGTCGAGAGGAACTGGGCGCCTTCTAGATAGCTTTTACTCATTGAACTTTTTCCATGAAATGGGAGACTGCATTGTACGTTTGACAAATGTTCTATGATAGATTTGTGCGTAGGTGCGGCGGCTGTAGCTGCGAAGCAGCGAAGGCACCTGGGCCAGATTAGGGAGCATCCCTACCAGAGAGCCGGTGCTCTCTCCTAAATCCCCCCTAAACTGACAAGGTTAGTTGACTGTTTTTCTATTTATTTCAGATGAACAACCCCGCGCGAATCAATGTGGTCTATATACCGTTTACCTACTGTAAATTTATGTTATCCGCCACGTGTACATGTTTGAGAGAGAGGTAGGGCGAGTGTGCGTGAGAGAGATACATCGCCGACTCAGCGTGCTGTCTCGTTCGGGAAAATCTAGCAGTCATATCAGTATTGAGTGTACTTTTTTATGCGGGTCGTCCGAAACGCTCTACATATGTACAACTTTTTTGACTTTTTTTTTAATCCGTTTCCTCCTGAGTAGGCGCTCTGCTAAAACTAAGGGAAAGAAGGATTGTGGTTATGACAATTTAGGTTACCAATAGATGTGTTCTTAAGGCAGAAATACCGACGGGTCACGCGCCGGACTAGGGACGATCCGAATTTTACCGGGAAAACTCTTTAAAATGTTCGAAACGTTGAAAAAACAAACGGGTTTCGAGGCGGCATAAAGTCAGTGAGTGTTACCGAATATCTACGGGACGTTCGATGAAAAACAAATGAAGATCAAATATTTTCGATTAGTTACACCTGAAGATTTTGTATGTTGCCTATTTCGATTTTTTGTTGTTAATTTTGTCAGCAATTTTTTTATTCGACACAACTATTCATCTTCCCCCCCAAAAAAAAAACATGGATTGTTCGTGTGAAAGGCCAAAATTGCCTTTTTTTCTCGACATTAATTGAAGAAAAAAAGAAATAATATAATTTAATTGAACGGAAATATACCAAAAACAGTTGCATTTTTAAAATAGAAATTTAAACATGAACGGAAAGTCAGTAGTGAAAAATTTTGAAGAGATTTTTTAAAATATTGGGCCTACGAGGGCTCTGCAGCAAACAGGCAACTAGCAATACATTTTTATACATTTTCTTACACAGTTTGTGAAAATATGAATTAATGAACAAATAACAGACTTTGCTCCGTTCTAACGCAGATTCTCTATAAAATGGATTTAGTTCGAAACTCAAATTACTTTTTGTTGTAAAGAAATTTGCCGTTTTTGAACGAGCGGCATAGTAAATTACAAATTTCTTTACACCAAAAAGTAATTTGAGTTTCGAACCGACTCCATTTTATAGAAAATCTGCGTTAGAACGGAGGAAAGCCCGAGAAAGGCCAAGTCCGCATCAGCGGACTTGCCTACCTTTCTAGTATTTAGATAAATTGTGTACGAAAATATATAAAAATGTATTGCTGGTTGCCTATTTGCTACAGAGCCCCCTTAAAAGTTTAGGCTTACGATAATTTTAACATCCAGATTGCACTTTTTCAGATTTATTTAACAAAAACACTCGATGTTCATTTGTTTATCACGTTAGTGGCCTCTGCGCTCGTCAATCGAAACACCCCGTATATCGATCCGTTTAGATACGCTCAAGTTTGCATCTAAATTAGAATAAAATTAACTTTTTCGAGTCTTAATCCATGATCACCGATTAGTAAGTTATACTAAATTAATTTAATTTTTTAACCATTGTTATTGTGCGGTAACTACCCCACGGCCTGTCGTACGTCGCATCTGAATTGTCATGCCTACTCGCACACAACATTGCTTTGTTTCTACTAGGCAATGTGACCTACTAGCCAAAGGACCTACTAATGCGTTGGGCGCCATGAATTTAACGACTGTCATCGCAGTAGCAGGAATGAGTTTTTTAACTAACGATATCGAGTATAATTACTTTAAAAGGTTTATTCCCCTTAGTGCGATTGTAGTCTTGCTTTCGTAACGCCTACAGACCAGTAGGTCGCTTTGGCCGGTAGACGCAAGGCAACGCTTTATGTCAGTAGGCATGACATTTAAGATGTGACGCTATGCCTTATAGGTTATATCTTGCTCACACTAAGGATACGGTTCTTGGAAACAGTATAGAAAAACATTTTCAAGGCCTTCTTGACAGTCTGGTGTATTTTTGCCTTAAAACGACATACCTAGGATAAGTTTTTATTTATATTTACGTTGTACCTCACTGTATGTCACATGAGTCTTGTGATGGCTAGTCTAAAAAAATTTTTTTATACATATTTTTATACTTTTACATATTTTTATTTATTTGAAAGTACGTTATCTTACATTTTATTGCCTCTATTATGTGTTTGGTCCTTCTTTCCTTTCCCTTATACATTATATATTATATTTTATCGATTGATATGCGGCATTTTATAGCGTATGTTGATTATTGTTATGGGAAACCCCGCGCTCCCCACGCGCCCAATTTTTGAAACGGCGTGGGGCGCGAGGGGCTATATTTAAGTAGTTTTATATACATTTATATAGTATATTATATTTTTTGTATGTTGTTTTGTTGACTTGCGCCAATGTGGAACAAAATATATTTATACAAAATCAGTGACCGACTTTGTTTTGACTTTCCCTCGAGACGCGGCGGGCGTCCCTCCGACTCGAACACGTAGAGATGCTCCGCCGCCGTCTCAATTCTCAAATTTTTAATAATTTTTTTTTAGTTATTAACTTCTTATTAATAATAACATTAACACTCCTCAGTATATCATAACTTTCTAATTCCACAATTTTGGCCAAGTTCACTAATTGTTGTGTATGGATGAAGTATTTAACGTATGATTGTGTTCCATATGGCACTATATTAAAATTTATGCATTGATTAACCTTTTTTTTTTGTACAGTACGAGTAACAAAGCCTCTCTAATATTTTATCGATTTCTAGCGAAAGGAAAATCGTGGGGTTTCGAGGCGTGCCAATTTTAACCGTGCCTTGTGTTTACGAGCGAATCTAACGTTTTTTTTTTTTTCGGAATCTGACACCCCCCACGATTTTCACGTCTCCGCGACACGAAATCTCTGGAATTTCTTGCACGCATTTTTAATATAGTCTCTAATATAGAACACTCTCACACCTTTGCTGCCTAGGTTAAAATTTACACTTACATGTATGTACAATTTGCTCTTATTAATAATCTCAGTGTCATTTCCTCCTCTGGATTTACAAATTTTTTTGCATGTTGTCTCGCACGGTGGTGGTTTAACTAAACGTCATTTCCCAAGGCGGTCCTCTCTCCATCTAGTGGCGCGGCGCGGCAACGAATGACGTTTACGTCCACCACTGTGGTCCCCGGACGTTTTTTTACGCTAAATTTTACTTGGGATGATCGTACGGTTTATTTGATAACTTCGGTGTTACGTCGACACGTCTCGAACTGAGGTTATCGAATAAACCGAGTAGTATGTTCTTAACATTGGGTTCATTTAAGCATATTTAACAGTATCTTGTCGACATATCGGATTTCGGGCAGTCGAGAAAGTTAGGTTATAAAGATTCGTCGGATTCGCCACGGTAGCGCAGTCGGTCGAGAGTGCGGTGGCAAGCATTTCTCGGCTAGGCTCGATGGATAATGGGTGTTTGTCCGCGTTTTTTCAAGTGTAGCCCCTTCCGCACAAGCCTTTGACTTTTGGATTTGAGGGTTGTCTCATTTCTGTGGTGTTTTATGTAAAAAAAAAAAAAAAACTAAAATTTCATGGGATATAATTGCCGTGGGATAAAAAATTCATAGGATACAACGCATTGAACTTTGACGGCCGCGAAAACGATCGTTCCTCGCTCCCGCGTACATAACCTCACTTTCTCGCTGCCCCCTGTCCCCGTAGCACTAAAGCCACCACCACCGAGCCGCAACGAATGACACTGAGAGAGTAAACTTAATACTGTAATTGATAATTTGTGCTCGTGGTACAGCTATGACAGAATACTAACAAACTGTTTTTTCTTTTCTTTTCTTGTTAACTTGGTTGGCCGGCCTTAGGCTTTGTGGAGTGCTAACCCCCCCCCGTCACACACCCTGCGCCACTCCGACTAACGAAATCAGAAGCGCCGGACCACACCCTGAGGGTAGCGGTACGTCTAACAATTACATCACTAACCTTAATTCACTATGTCATCGTGCACTGTGTACTAAAGGACGACAGTCGTTCACGTAACCTCATTTGTTACATTAACACGTTAACTGCCTGGTATATCCCCCAATAACGCTTAAAAGGCCGTCCGATTATTTATTTTTGGCAGGTCGGTAGCGAGGAATCCTTTCACACCAAGTTGTATTGTTTCTTTTATTTTTATTTTTTTCAGCGGGACCAGGCAGTTGGCGCGTTAGTTCCAAAGATGAGACGCAAATTCGACGCTTCCTAATACTTACCAGAATCTCATGTTTAATGGACTAACTCGCGTTTCTCGATCGGATGCGGGAGCGTCGAGTTTGCCGTCGAATCTCCTGTAGATCTTCTGGATAGCATTTATCCACATTAAAACGTAATTTACTAATATTGTCTATAATATAAATTTACTTTTCTGTAAAGTACAAACATTTTGTGAGTGCCAAGAGTTAATTGTATTATCAAAAAAAGCATATAAATAAATGAAAAAATATATATATACGGCAGGGGCCCGCCCGCCAGGAAAATTTAGTGTTTGGCGCCCCCGGAAGGCGGGGCGTTTTCCGTTCCCGGCGAACTTGTACTTATTAAATTTTCCTGGGCGGGGCGCAGGATCGACCGCAATAACTTTGCTAAGGTAGGTATGTAAAGTAAGTGACTTAAATATAGATGTAATAATTTATATGGAATTGTGAACAAAATATTATCGAATAGTTTATATAGAATTGTTTATATATAGAAGTCGTTTATATAATTGTTTTAAATTTGATAGCTTTTTACATGGGTCTGCAGATTCTTTTGCAATCTTCTATTAAGTGATTCTCGAAGGGGGCTCAACACCAGATCTGATACGCGCCGGTGCGTCGGTAAACACACAAAGACGTTCGCCGTGGTTGAAATTTGTAATTCTAGTTTGTCGTTGTTTATCGTAAACGATGGAAACACGTGAACAGAAACTTAGCTGCGGGCTTAAGAGATATCGTTATTAATTTTTATCTGTGTGTAATTTTCTGCAGCTCATTTTCTATTTTCTCTGTTCCATAAAACTGTGATTAGTTGTTCTAAAAGGTATATCAAACTCGAAACTTTATTTCGGAATTCCGCGCAAGATCTCAAAATTTCGAATACAATCTGTAAATTCAAATTTGAACAGAAATTTCGAGCTTGCACTTTCAAGTACAAGCTTGAAACTATGAGTGTCGGCTCAACATTTGCAAAACAAAGAAATAAGTAACTAAAAATTGAAAGCTCTGACTTGAAATCTGCAATTCAAATTTGAAATTTCGAGTTCCAAAACGACGCGTTCACATTAAGTATTGTTAGAGTTCGAAATTTCAAATTCGTACTTGAAATTTCAAATTTGAACTTGGAATTTTAAGTTCTCGAAAATTCGAATTTACACTTGAAATTTTTAAGAAATTATGAGTTTTGCCTAGAAATTTGGTAAATAAAGAAATAAAAAGTAGCTTCAAATTTCAAACACAATTACAATTGTATACTTGGAATTTCAGGTTTATATTTGAAATATTGAGATACAAATCAAAACTTTACTTTCAAACTTGAAATTTCAAAACAATCCACTCACATTAAGAATTGTTGGATCTCAAAATTTCAAATTCGTACTTGAAATTTCAAATTTGAACTTGGAATTTCAAGTTCTCGCTAATTCGAATTTACACTTGAAATTTTTAAGAAATGATGAGTTTTGCCTAGAAATTTGGTAAATAAAGAAATAGAAAGTAACTTATAATTTCAAACTGACTTAAAATTTACAATTGCATACTTGAACTTCAAGTTTAAACTTGAAATTTTGAGATAAGAGTCAAAACTTTACTTTCAAACTTGAAATTTCTAATTTTAAAACATTGCATTCACATTAAGAATTGCTAGAACTCGAAATTTCAAATTCGTACTTGAAATTTCAAATTTGAACTTGGAATTTCAAATTCCAAAAATTCGAATTTTCATTAGAAATTTTTGAGACTGAGTTTTGCCTAGAAATTTGGTAAATAGAATAGAATTTATTGACCATTTAATTTAAAATTTCAAATTGGTTTGAAAATAGTCTCAAACTTGAAATTCCAAATCCGGATTCAAAATTTAACTGTTAAACTTGAAATTTCATGTTCAAATAGCAAACTTTTTGTAGAAATTCGATATTTCCAATTCAAACTCGTAATTTCTTTTTTGATCTCGAAATTTGGTATATAAAGAAATATAAAGTTACCCAATATTTCAAGCTGCCTTGAACTTTGCGAATCAAACTTGAAGTTTCAAGCTTCAACTCGATATTTCGTGTTAAAATTAAAAATTAACTCAAAGTATTTTAAAATTTACAATTGCATACTTGAAATTTCAAGTTTAAACTTAAAATTTTGAAGTAAAATTCAAAACTTAACTTTGAAACTTGAAATTTCTAGTTTCAAAACAATGCGTTCACATTAAGAACTGTTAGAGCTCGAAATTGCAAATTCGTACTTGAAATTTCAAATTTGGACTTGAAGTAAATAATCAAAACTAAACTTTCAAACTTGAACTTTCTAGTTCCAAATACTGCGTTCACATTAAGAATTGTTAGTGCACGAAATTTCAAATTCGTACTTGAAATTTCAAATTCGTGCTTGAAATTTCAAATTCGTACTTGAAATTTCATATTCGGACTTGGAATTTCAAGTTTTCGAAAATTCGAATTTACACTTGAATTTTTTAAGAAATGATGAGTTTTGTCCAGAAATTTGGTAAATAAAGAAATAGAAAGTAACTTAAAATTAAAAACTGGCTTGAAAATAGTCACAAACTTGAAATTCTGAGTTCGGATTTAAAATTTAACTGTTAAACTTGAAATTTCATGTCCAAATAGCACTTTGTATAGAAATTCGAGATTTTGAGATCGTGTAATTTCGAGTTTGAGCTCGAAATTTGGTTTTTAAAGAAATAAAAAGTCAAACTTGTATTTTCAAGTTTAAACTCTAAATTTTATGTTCAAATGTGAAATTTTAGTTCAAATTCAAGTTTTCGAGGTGATTCATCTTCAAATTCGAAATTGTGAGTTTAATTCATGGACTTTAAGCATTCGTAGATTACCGTTAAATAATCGAAACGTCCAAGTATCTTCATAAATCCCATGAATGAGTGCCTTAATAAGCTAAGTATACACGTAGACGACAATTGTTGTGTGGGAACAGTTCTTTAATCGTATTATTTGTTGCCGCGGTGGTTTGTGTGTTTATCGGTTTCCGGTACCGACTGACGTTCAAGAAAAATATCTACGAAATAAGTTTTGTTACTATGAAAAAAAAAAAACTTTCTCGAATATTTTCCGTCCGCCGTTTGGGTATTTTTGCAGTAATAATTTTCAAGAGGCAATAAATAAGTAGTAGAAAACGAATACTCTAGTATAGATATTCTTCTATGCAGTGCAATAACAGAAATTTCTGAGCCGAGTGCAATTTTGTTGAATTTTTGAAATCCATACGATCCTTTTTTATTGTTTAAATGTTGTACTTAGATTAGATGAGTAAAAGATCTGTTTAATTGCGCCGTATATTAAAATTTGCGAAGGCGTCGCGTTTTAATTTTGGCGCGCGATTTTAATATACGGCGTCGTTGCTACAATAACAAATCATATTTAAAAAAAATGGCATTATTCGTTAAAGGTAGCTTGTTTAGCTGTTAATTTTACGCAAGTATAATCTTTAAGTATAATTTATGTGTCATATTAATAATATTTAATGTTATTAATTATTGTTGTACTTTTTTTTTGAAATCGCCTTTTTGAGTCAACTGGGTTCTTTCAAAATAGTTGAGATTAACGGTACATGTGTATGTATTATTGTGCACAAATTTAATGAATAAATCTAATAGTGTTACCCCCGCTTTTCATTTCCTAACACATTAACCCGCAACGCCAGCTGGAAAAAACGGTCGAATCTTGCTTTTGGTAGTAGTTGGAGCTTTTTAGCATCGCTAATGTAAAGGGTGTCCCAAACTTCGCGCCAGAAGCGATTTTGATAGAAAACGCAGGTTTTTAATTAATAACAGAAAAAAAGTTGTCTACTTTTCATGCGACATAATGTTATCCGTAGTAGTTTTGCCTCCTCATCACGAATCCGGTCTCAGAATTGAGCTATCACATCACAGGAATTTCCTAACCTCAAAAAACTGGTCTAAACAGCAAAAATTCACGTAAAAGTGCTAGGAAAAATAATTTTTTTTTTTTCGATATTCAATTGTTCAGTCAGATGGTTAAGACCCCACCGAACGTGAATCCGCGGACAGAACAGAATTGATGGACCTTTTCCTAACCTCAAAAAAACGGGTCAATTAAGGTCAGATATCACGAATTTTCCAAAAATACCAGATTCGCGCCAATTTTGATATACGGGGGTTTTCGAGGTCGCGGATCCGTGATCAGCAAAATTCAAGATGGCGGATCCAAGATGGCCGACCAAATTTAAAAAAAAAACATTCGCGCCAAATTTAGGAGAAGGGGTTTTTGGGGTCGAGATTTGAGGTCAATTTTGCAAAATTCAAGATGTCGGTTCCAAGATGGCCGACCAAATTTTCAAAAAATAACGGATTCGCTCCAAACGGCGTTTTCGGGGCGTACAAAATTCGTTTTTCAAAATTTGATCAATTATGTACACTTTATTCCCTGATATTAGGCAGAAAACCCGTGAATAGATCGTTTACAGAAAAAGTAACAAGATATATCCGAAAAAAAGGTTAAAACAGGATTGGGTACTCGGGTTATAAAGTAAACAAATATATTTCAAATTGAATTTCGCAATTCTGAGCTAGAATTCGTAATCAGCGACCCAGAAAGCCCCCGTATAGCAAATTTGGGGCGATTCTTATTTTTTGACATTTGGCCGGCCATCTTGGATCCGCCATCTTGAATTTTGCAAAATTGACCTCGGATCCGTGATCAACGACCTCGAAATCCCCCGTATACCAAATTTGGCGCGAATATTTTAATTTACGAATATTAGGTCGGCCATCTTGAATTTTGCAAAATTGACCTCGGATCCCTGATCAGCTACCCCAAAATCCCCCGTATATCAAATTTGGCGCGAATATATTAATTTTTGAAAATTTGGTCGGCCATTTTGGATGCGCCATCTTGAATTTTGCAAAATACCTCGGATCCGTGATCAGCGACCTCGAAAGCCCCCGTATACCAAATTTGGCGCAAATGTGTTAATTTTTGAAAATTTGGTCGGCCATCTTGAATTTTGCAAAATTGACCTCGAATCCGTGATCAGCGACCTTGATAACCCCCGCATACCAAATTTGGCGCAAAGTTGTTAATTTTTGAAAATTTGGTCGGGCAACTTGGATCCGCCATCTTGAATTTTACAAAATTGACCTCGGATCCGTGATCAGCGGTCCCGAAAGTCCCCGTATACCAAATTTGGCGGGAATCTTATTTTTTAAAAATTTGTTATATCGGACCTTAAATTGACCCGTTTTTTTGAGGTTAGAAAAATAACCATCGATTCTCACCGCAGATTCACGTTCAGCGGGGTCTTAAGCCTATAAGTTAACATTTGAATATAGAAAAAAAAATTGTGTTTTTCCTAACACTTATTCGTGAATTTTTTTCCGTAACGGAACCCCAGATACATACGGGACCACCTCTAGAAAGACACTAATTTTTTGAAAATTTTCGTGCCCTTAGAAACACCATTCCAATCAATTATTAGTTCAGTAAAGGTGAACGCTCCCTTGTGTCGATTGACCAATCAAGCTGCATTAAATAGTTCCAAATTTTGATGCTGCCATCTATGTATCAGAAACTGCACTAAACCACGGAAGAATTCTTTAGCAGGTAGGTAACTGTAACAGCCTCACATTCTCTGGTGAATTAATTGAGCTGTTACTGTACAGATGGCGCCGCTTACTTTCCCAACAGAAATATGTATATTACCAAAGTTTACAGAATATTTATTTTATTCTGTAAATATTGATATTACTTACAGGGTCATGCCATGTATGTAAGAGAGCGGTTGCCTTCTTACAGGCGTTTAATACACGATCTTGACGCGTGCCAATTGCTTGACCAAAGAAACGATGAAAATTGAACGAAACGTTAACAATTTTAAGGAAATTTGCAATATTATAATAGCGGCGCACCCTTCTGAACGCTCAATCGCTATTTGTTTATAGCTTTAAATAACAGTGGAAAAAAACAAATTATCACACTGCAATCACTGATAATTTGTAGTATTTAACGTGAATTTTCAAGCGCCGTCAGCAGAATTACAAAATACCAATTCAATCAAAAGTTATTAACGATTGAAAATTGCAAAAATCGCATTTTCGAGTTTTTAACGGCGTTTATCTCGAAAACTATGCGTTCAACAAAAAAATTGCAAGAGACATTTTCTTCTTAAAATGAGTCAAAGAACAAGAAATTATTTTGCCAAAAACTAAGTTTTTAGTATTTTGCAAGTTTTTTGTTAATAAAAAACTTATCAACATCCGTTCAAACTTCTACCCAAAAAATCCGTGTTCTACAGCTCAAAATACACAAACAACACTTGGGTAACTCCATCTAAATGAAGGAGGCAATTGGGACCCCCCTGGACACAGGACTATTCCTCAAAAATTATTAGAACTTTGAAAAAAATCCGGTAGACTATAACGGTGCTAAGCAATCCAAAAATGCATGACTGACCAGCTCTGTCCCCACATTAAACTGACTGACTGACATAACATTTATTTATATGCAATATAGAGTTCGTATAACGATTTTCAGCCTTAGTAAAGTCATTTTATTGCTTCTTTAAGTACCTACAACAACTTTGATACTGTACCTGAGACACCTGTTTTCAGTTTTCCTTGACTGACCACAGTACGTTTGTGTGCACAACTACTGTAATCAACTAACAACAAACTAGGCTTAGTAAGTTCAAACAATTTTGTTGCCTCTGGCCTTCATCTATAACTTGAGTTGATTTTTGTCTGTAATGCGACAAGATAATCATCGAACTAGAACAAAAATCCTTTATCTCGAGTAGAAACCTCTCGAAACTCTCGAAAACACTCATCACTTCACGGTTTCCAAGTGAATAAAAAATTTGAAACTTGAAGAAATGGTTATCGTTCGCTTATCTGCTTACCAAACCTATTTTTATACAAATATGACTCGAGTACTTCGCTTATAGAAAACAATTAAACAATCGCAGATAGTTCAGTCACTTAAAATTGTCCATAAAATGGAGGATAAGTAATAGACAAATAAGTGTACTTATATGTATCACGTTACTATAATTATTTGGTTCATTTATTTTCTTAATTATAATCGCCAGGGTAGGATTGGTTTGAATGTAAAACAGAACAAAAAGTAGCATTTTGGAAACAACATCATTTATAGCATATTTATATTAAAATTTAAGATGATTTTAAAATGAAGAAAATACGGAAAGCAAACTACAGTTCATGTTTTAAAACGAGGTTTTCATATTCCAAGAGTCCAGCCCAAACTGACTCCAAAAGTCGATAGGAGCCAGCCCTTCAGTCTTCTTCAACTCCATGTCCTCTGGTCCATTTATAAGCAAATAAGTCAGCCCTTCAGGTCCCGTTGGTTGCCAGACGTCAGTCCCATCGAAAGAAGGAATACTAAAAAGTAAACGTTAATTAGGAAAAAAGTTATTTAAGGATTGGTTTACGTTTTCTTTACCCGCCGCTGATGTACGAGGTCAACATGTTATGACAAGCAGAAATCAAGCGCTTATCTTTTTCCGAATATGGATGCATACGTAAGGTCCCATAGAAGTAGATGGCGTCATCGTAATGAGCGACACCTGCGAAGAAAAAAATTGGATAAATATTTTCCTTGTTTTATATTGCTTGATCTGGTTATTATTGATTAACAGTTCTTACCATCCACTTCTGTAGTTCCTGAATAGAATTCTGCGAATTTGTTTTCACCATCGCGATAGTTGAACAGGTAGACGTAAACTGGAGATTTCGTTGCGTTGGCTTGCATTTTAGCTGTTATTTCGGCAGGCACAGCAAAAAACCTGTCAGTAAACAACTAAAAAGAAATAGCTTTGGTAAATTTAGACCAGGGGATAATTTTCTAATTGAAAAAGTCTACCTGAGTAAGTTTTTTGAAGTTCTCCTTATTAATTTTTTCCCCTGATCCCAAATAGTGATCCAAAATTGTCTTTCCTACAATCTCTTTATTAGATACAGGTAGAGTTTCGTTGCAGTCTATCAGATAAGGATATATTTCTCCCCACTCTTCGTCAATTTCCTCCAAATTGTTCCAGAAATCTGGAAAATTATGTTACATTGGGCGATAGGATCTTGCCAATAGCCAAGTCATTAGAGGATATTAAAGAAGAAATAAATCTCACTCACATCCTGTAGGGAGCAGCCCATCATCAGCGGTGAACGTGTTAATCCAAGACGCGTCATTAACTTTACCTTCCTTTAAAAGTTGGTAAGGTTCTGCGTCAAGAAAAGCGTTCGACGATCCCTTTTCCACCACTGGCGCAAAAGGCGTTAATGGCATCAGTGGCCCGGACTGGTAGGTATAGAAATGTGTCAATTGCTCCATCAAAGTGTGCACTGGCGTCTGCTTGAGACACGCCTTCAGTTCTTCTGTGGAGCCATCAGGACAACCCACCAACGCGCCAAGTTTCTTCGCACGTTGCAGGGGGTTCCTCCTTATAGCCCATGGTGCTAGGGCTGTGCCACTGTGCGATATCCCCCTGACGAATAATCCTTTAGAAAGTGGCGAGAAATAGTGGTGGTGGACGCTGGCTCCACCTGATGACAAACCGACTATGGTAACGGAGTGGGGATTTCCCCCGAACGAAGCGATGTTGTCCCTGACCCATTTGAGTGCTAAGACTTGGTCTTTCATGCCGTTGTTGCCGGGTATGACGTCGTCTTCCGTGCTGAGGAACCCTAGAACGTTAAGGCTGTTTGAAAAATGAGAAAAGCCTGAAGGAAGAAGCATTTACCTAGAATGTTAAGACGATAATTGAAAGATACAAGCACAGTGTCGTGCTCCAGGAATGTATTGAAAGTAATGTTTCCAGCACCTGACATAAAGCCACCGCCATGGAGTGACACTATCACATCGAGTGCCTTTGGGTTTTTGACAGACCCTTCAGGGATATACACGTTTATGTAGAGACAATCTTCTTCTCCTAAGACAAAAAATAAACAAGATGGTGAAGGTAACTTTTTGAGATTGGAATGGTTATGGGGCTTATTAAATTATATGATCAATGTTGATGAGTATCAAGGTAGGTGCTGATTTGTACTGACCAGATATGTCAAGAGAAGCCAAGTCGGCCTGGGGACACAGGTGAAGAGCGTTGGCCTCCCATGTTTCTGACCAGGCTGCAATGGGTTGAGATTCCTACAAATTAAGAATAAAATCACTACATCTGAGCAATGTGACCCCCATTTATTGCCTTTAAGATAATAGATGTATTGCCCAACCTTAACAGTGACAATACCGTTATAGCAACGTTCAGATGACCTTGTGGCAGTCAATATGGTACATCATTTGACAATTACTACAACCATTTGGTTGTAATCGTTCGTTGTCATAGTTGCTTTTACTTGTATGTGTTCTAAAATAATAAAATGGCGACTCTGTAGATGCGTAGATTATCATATTATCTACTCATATATCTAACTACTATAACCATTATCAGTGGAAAGTTTTTTAAATCTATCTCTAAAACTCAGTGGAAGCGTCACTGGGTCCATAAATACGGTTGTGATAGTTTATTATTTACGGGGTCAACTCTATTCTAAAGTATAGAAAAAAGATTTAGCTGTTAATTTTATGTGTCTAAAGAGTAAAGCTAATGTATAGTAGAAAATTGTTTTTGCCTTTTTCAGAGACTTCGTTTGCTAGATCTCTAGATTGTTTAATGAGAGAATGAATGTAAGACAGAGATGATATTTTCACTCACTTCGAATCTAAGATCGCCTACGGGTGGTTCTGCGTATCGAATTCCCTCAAAGGCAGCATAAGTTATGTCATCTAATGTCTTCCAATATCCTCGAACCCTTCCTAAGGGCGTGTCTATCTCTGGTAGGTCGTCCTTGCTTAAACAAACTAGCATCAAGTTAAACTAAGAAATCTTAGAAACCTTAATTTCGGTTTATTCAAGACTTATGAGTATATTTCACCAAACTGTAATAACACAATTGTAAGTAGTTTTATTTTCTGTAAGAGTAATTATTTTGTAAAATGGGATATTCTTTTCACATAATATTGAAATGTAGCTATACTATTTTATATATTTAAGTTGACAGACTACTCCTATGTGAGATGTGAATCTGAGTATCGAAAACTAAATAAACGTCGTATCTCAAAAAAATTCTGCATGCTTATGTGTATGCAATATCATTTTCTATCAAGATTATCAATTATCAAATTATTTTTGTTTTATTCAGTCCCATAGTGATCATTATTTAAAAAACTATATTTGATAAAAAATATAAAAATAAATACAGAAAAATATATAAGTAATATAATAAATATTAAAGATCTAGGCTAGACAAATAAGTGTAGTTACTTACAGCTGTTCCCAAACGAGAGAACAAACAGCAGACAACCCAATTTAGACAACATTTCGAGATGGACTATCCTTAAACGGAAATCTGACAGATATATATATATCTCTACCACTTATCTTGTTTATCACAGTCACAAGAGTAGAACTGGTGTGATCGGAGTGAAATAGTGGAGGTGGACGTTAGTGTCACCTGCTGATAAGCCTACTACGGCAATGGAGTGGGATTGAGGGCTTCCAATTTCCACCAAGCGATGTCTATTCGAGTGCTAAGAATTGATCTATCATACCCTGTTGCCGGGTATTGATAAACTAAAGGCTAGAGCTTATTGTTAGACGAACACAAAAGACACTGAATTTTTGATCGGTGAACTGTTTCGAGACTTATGGTTGAAAAGGTATATGATAGAGTATAGAGTATCAATTTAAATGGTGCTTTGTACTGACCAAATGTTCGTTTCAGAGATTAAGGAGAAGGAAAAATCATAAGCGCTCTGATCACTTCTGAACGGACGCCATCTGTCGGTTTTAGGTCTATTCGCATATTTCTGCCGATAAAAATGAGAAGGTATCTTTCGAAAAATGGCCTTCAGCTCGTCAGTTGTCTCTATTTCTGGCTAATCCTGTTGCTTAAACTGTCTAGTACAAGTCTTGGAATAGCATAACCAAAGTTAAAAATTAGGGACTTTATAGAAAATACTATGCCCAAAAAAACCTGATTTTTGTTACCATTACCATACAAGTGGATATAAGGCTGTTACAAATTCGCTTCTCACTACAGGGATCTCGAAAACGGTAAGAGATACGAACTAGCTTAAATGGGGGCAAAGTTGCGAAGTCAGGGGACCAACATTATGCCCCCAAAAATCAAGGCTAACATGATTAGTTCGAAATATTTGAAGAAGAACCGAATTTTGGAAATACGTTTTTGTTTCATTTCAGCCTTGTTTGAGGTGATATTGAAAAAGGAAGAACACTTTCTCATGACCACTTTTTGCCCTCTATCGAATGGCATAATCAATTTTTACATGTAACGTTTCGTCTCTCCAGGACCATCATCAACTTCATTTTTTTTAATACGATCCTGGAAATTTTAATACATATTTTGCAAGCTCTCATGAACCCCAATACTGTACTGCCTCAGCCCGAACCAAATTCAGATGTTTTGTCTCGAAACATTCATCTTCAATGTATCCGTTCCAAATTTATCTAAATTTTTTATTTATGTGAAATCCATCTAGTTATTTAAATTGTTACCACCACGCATTCAAATAAAACATAAAAGGTTTATTCCCGTGTTCATAGTTATTTCTAGTCTTCTCGACAAACAAACAAACAAATTGCGATCTATTTCGACCTCTCGTTTTATTCGTATTTCGATTCTCTACAAAATGTTTCTTTAAAGCTTCGTTAGTTTAGGTTTTATAAGTAAAAAACCAAAGAAAATGCGTTTTTTTTGCACATAAACATATATCTACAGATGGCACGTCCGTTTGCTATTAGTAATTTTGTCACAACCTCTATTGATTGGCTTAATATGGAATTTCCGTTACTTTTTTGAATAATTATAGTAGTAGCGGCATTGTGAAACATTGTCATTATAGTACGCTTATCTGTGATAACTTAAGCGGTATTTTTGTTGTACGAGTTAAAAAGACAAGTTAATCATCAAATAATAATCAAATAAATTTGGAGATAATATTTATACAAGTGGATATAAGTGTGGAATATACTCATACTTAAAAGACTATTTATAGGTGTTTTTAATAAATGGCATTTCCGTTATATTTTTGGAGAAGTGGATCAGTCATAATTAAATAATATTGATTTAATATCGACATTGTGAATCATTATTAATTACTTGCAGTTGTATTTGTAATAAGTCAAGGTGAATTTTTGTTGGATCAGTTAAATGGAAAGAATCACCGACTGGAACAAAAATTCTTCATCTCGAGTAGAAACCTCTTGAAAATACTCCTATCATTTCACTTAGCGAATGAAATCAAAAAATTGATTCTTGAAAAAATATAACTTGAGTACTTCGCCTAGAAATATATTTTTTTGTCAATTTCTTGTAAAACACGCATCTTATAGAAACAAATAGTTCAGTCACTTACAATTGGAGGATAACAAATAGACAAACCAATGTACTTATACCACTTTATTTAGTTTAGTATTTTGTTAATTATAATCGCCAGGGTAGGATTGGCTTAACTGTAAAACAGAACAAGCATTTATAGTATATTATATACAGGGTGATTCATTAACAATGGGAAAGTCGAAAGTCGAAGCTGAAGATACTACACGTGAAATAGTGACCATTGGCGCAAACATGCCTTATCCGAAAGTTAATAGTTTCGGAAATACAGGGTGAATTTCAATTGTTTTATTATTAATTGTTGTAATAACACGAAGAAACACTTGGTTTGTTTCGCTTTTAATTTCTCGTATTATCAAAACATAGTGTTACATCGATTTTTCTCGAAAGCGGATCGAGATACCGAAATGAAACAAGAGTACATAATTAATGGGAAAATGATTGCTCTTTCAGGTTTTGAATCAAGTTTTATGTTAAATATACATGGTAAAAAGTTATTAACTAAATTTTCGCAAAAAAACGATTTAAAATTTTAACTTTCAACGCCCTGTATTTCCGTGTAGTATCTTCAGCTTTCAATTTTACCATTGTTAATGAATTACCCTGTATATTTGTTTTAAATTGAATATAGTTATTACCTAGAGGATTTGTTTTATAACAGTACAATTCAATATTATGTTGCTTCAAATCTGTAACATACATTACCAAAATATTTTTGTTATATTTTATTTACATCATTTCCTTAACTACTACAATTCTCATGTGATGCACTGACCTGATCCATATTCCCTAGAACTTTTGACGCAGATCTTGAGACTTAAGTAGTAAGTTGCCAATACACATACCTCCTCTCTCAATAAAAAAAAAATAGTATTTAGTTTTCGTTAGTGTTTTCTATATTATCTGTTAATATGAATGCTGGTTTGACCCTGTCAATGCTAATAGTTAAGTCTAAAAATGTAATCACATGTATCTAAATTTGATGAAACAAATGGTTTTTCTTTAGTGTGATGTTTGCTTGTCGTTGGTCTAAGGTTAGCAAACGTTTCTCGTGAACCAACTAATAAAGAAGAATTGTCAGTGGTATTTTGGGATTCAGTAAAAATTCGCCAGGAAGGCGTAATGGTTGTTCATATACTAATTCTGCAGATGAACAATCTCACTTTTAATAGCAGCTCGTATACCCAATAAAATAATTGGTAATTCATTTTTCCAAACGATTATTATTATTAGTTTTTGTTATTAACGCAATTTTTAATGTTCTATTAAGTCTTTCGGTTATCCCATTACTTTGTGGATGATAGCTTATGTGTATTTTATGTGTACCTATGTATTTCGTGAATTCTGTAAATAGAGCTGATTGAAATTGTCTACCTTGGTCTGTGGTAGTATACCAAATCTACATAATGTTATTGTTTCTGCTGAAATATTGGACAGTGGATACGCTTCAGGCCATTTCGCAAATCTTTCTGCTACTGTGAGTAGGTAACTACAATGTTCTGAAGGTGGAAGTGGTCCTACTATGTCAATGTGTATGTGTTCAAATCGTCCATTAGTAGATTGACAATCTAGACAAGATTTAGTCCATAGAGTCATATCTGTGTTCATTCGTGGCCAAAAATAGAGTTAATCATTTTCTTTTTTGTACGAACGCCGGGATTTTAGTTAAAAATTTCTAATCTAAACTATTTTGATATAAAAATTCCTTTAATTTTTGTTATTTCACACCGATGTATGTTACTAGAAAATTCAATTTCCAGTTTATTTTAGTGTTACTGTTGTTTTGTGTTTTTAGTAAATCTGTTAACTCTTTATCATGCGCATGTGCGTGTTGTATTTGTTTCAATTTTACTTAGAAATTATCAACCATGTTAACAATGCTTTCGTTTACTCTAGAAAGACTATCACCAACAATGTTTTCTTTTCTTTTTATGTGTTTGATATCCGATGCAATAAATTCCAAATATCGAAATTGTCTTGGCCTTTTTTCTGTTTTTGAATTCAAAATATAAGTAAGACGTTTATGATCTGTAAAAATAATGACTTCCTTTCCGTCTATTAAATATTTAAAATATTTAATACTCATGTAAATCGTTAAAAGTTCTCTGTCAGATGTCGAATATTGTTGTTGTGTTGGTGTGAGTTTTTTTGAAAAATATGCTAAAGGAGTATTTATATTATTGTGTGATTGCTCCAGGACCGCACCTATTCCCTTAAAGGTTTAATATTAATGCCATATTTAATAACTCTTTCAAAAAGCAGTTTTAAGTGTTCTATATGTTCATTTTCATTTTTGCTAGCAATTTAAATGTGATCTAAATGGACGAATACGAAATTTAGACCAGAAGTAACTTCATATGTGAATCTTTGCAATGTCTGTGCTGCGTTTATTAAACCAAAAGGCATTCTTACAAAATCAAATAAACTAAACTAGATCAATTTTTGAAAAAAATTTACAGCCACGTAGGTATATGTAAGTTAAAATCGTAAATGTGTGGTAATGGATATCTATCTGATACTGTTACATTATTCTCTATAATCTCCACAGGGACGCCAATCATTTGGGTCATTCTTTAGGTAATGGTGAATATACTGATGAGATGATGGTTTCCAAATAGGTATACATATAATAATTTTTGCCTGCGGCGTTTTTTTTCTTTCTTTCCCATCTAGTACAAAAGCTATGTGATTTACCTAATCACAATGTCACGAACCGCCACTGCGTCAGACCCGGCAACAATGGCATGATAGATCAAGTCTTAACACTCGAATAGGCCAAGAATAACATCACTTTGTGGAAACCCTCAACCCCACTCCATTGCCATGGTTGACCTATCAGCAGGTGACGCTAGCGTCCACCTCCACTATTTCACTCCGAACACGTCAGTTCTACCTTTGTGACTGCAATAAACAAGATAAGTGGTAAGTATATATATCTGTCAGATTTCCGTCTAAAGATAGTCCAGCTCGAAATGTTGTCTAAATTGGGTTGTCTGTTGTTTGTTCTCTCGTTTGGGAACAGCTGTAAGTAACTACACTTATCTTTAACATTTATTATATTAAGTATATATTTTCATGTATTTATTTTTATATTTTTATAACTAGTATATTTTTAAAATAATGGTAACTATGAGAGTGACTAAAACAAACATAATTTGCAACAAGTAGATAGCTATAATAAAATCGCAATTCATTGGGAAACAGAAATAGTTTCGTGATAATTGATAATTTTTAGTCGTTCAAGGATAACAGTAATTGATATTGTTCACATTGAAAAAAATGCTAATGGCTTTTAAGTATGTTGTCTTTGTAGTGTAAATTATTAGGTCTGTTCCAACAAGAGTCAAGGATTAGTTTCGAACCGTTCGAACCGAAATATTTGGCCAGCCAAGTTCTAAATGTGTCTTCAGTGAATATATCGCAAGAATTAGTTGGATGCACATTTCTGACGGTTCGGAACCAATCCCTGACTCTTGTTGGAACAGACCTATTATAAGTCAAAAAAGACAGTTTAATTTATATATTTAAATTCAACTCGATGCTAGTTTGTTCAAGCCAGGATGATCTGCCAGAGATAGACACGCCTTTGGGCAGAGTTCGGGGATATTGGAAGACATTAGATGGCATAACTTATGCTGCTTTTGAGGGAATCCCGTACGCAAAACCACCAGTGGGCGATCTGAGGTTCGAGGTAAGACAAAATATTTTCATCTTTAGGACAATGTAATACACATATTGAAACATTTATGGTAATAAAATGAATGGGCAATTTTTTAAAATTAAATCTATAAATCAGTTCCCAATTTTGTCTGATATGTTGATTTTTTTAAAGAGAAAAAATAATATGTGCCTAAATCTGAAGAATGGTTCTTTATGCCTATTCAGAGCCGTTTGAAATAATAGTGTTATACGACAGAGAAAACAAAAGACTATTAAAAAATTTTCCATAACAAATTATTTCAACTACAATTTTAAAAGGCACATATATATTATAGAAAATCGAATCCACCCATACCCAATAAACAAGTTTTATTTTGTCAATAGCAAGGTTTTTAGGGTTGTCTTAAAACACCTACTTAACAAGTGAAATAAAATTTAATTATCTTCAGTGTTATCCTTCATAAATTTGCACAGAATAAAATAAAGAATTTGAAACAGTACCTATTGCTTCTAACGCAAAAAAGATATATTTTTTATGTTGCGTTTTTTTTTGGCACCTCTTACTTGCCAGGCTTTCTGGTTAATTTTTCGCTTTAGATGTAAATTGGAGTTCTAAACGTTACTATTGTGTCAAAATAAATTTATTTACTGAATTGCAATGGTATTGTCGGAAAGGCAACGCATCGAAATCTTGATATTGCTTGCATGTGGAGACAAAATAAGAAGTCGGGCTGAAGCGCGCGATTTATTTAATGCGAAATATCCCGAAAACCAAATCTCGCAAGGGACAGTTAATAAAGTAATTCACAAATTTGAGGAACACGGTACAGTACAGACTGCCCAAAACTGGACGGGCACGTGCATTGAATGAAGAAAAGAAATTAGACATTGCATTAGAACTTGTTGAAAATCCTCATACGTCAACTGTTTCATTGGCCCGCAATCTCGATGCTTCTCGAACTGCAATTCGAATGTTTCTGAAACAAGAGAAATACCACCCCTATAAGGTATGTCTTGTCCAAGAACTTTTGGAAGACGATTATGATAGGCGATTACAATTTTGTAAGGAAATGATGAGACGGTGTGACGACAATAATGGTTTTCAACGAGACGTACTTTTTTCGGATGAAGCTACGTTTTATTTAATGGAGTGGTTAATAGGCACAACTATCGCTTTTGGTCCCAGGAAAATCCACACTGGACATACGAATTGCATACGCAGCATCCACAAAAAGCTAATGTATGGACAGATATCATCAACAACAGAATCTTGGGCCCATTCTTTTTTGAAGAAAATCTTACTGCCGCACGCTACCTGGATTTCCTAACATTTGACCTGATACCTGCTCTAGCTGTGATTTTCTCTCATGAAATTGATCCAGATATACCGAATGAAAGAATTTGGTTCCAACAAGATGGCGCTCCCCCACATTTTGGTATTGATGTTCGAAGATACTTAGATGAAATGTTTCCAAATCGCTGGATTGGTAGACGGGGTACAGTTGAATGGCCGCCAAGATCCCCCGACTTAACACCCCTGGATTATTTTCTATGGGGATATTTGAAAGAAAGAGTCTACCAGGACAGGCCGGATAATATTGAGAATTTAAAGAACAAGATTAGGGCGGAGATGCACAATTTACCAGTTGAAGTCATTCAGAATGCTGTCGGCGTTTTAAAAAAAAACTCACTGAAAAGATATGAATTTTATTCCGTACTTTTGGCCATCTCTGTGTATATGCGAAAAAGAAATTAGAAGTACATGTTATGAATTATAAAGAAATTATAATAAGTCATGTTTATTCACTACACAATATTTTTTTTTGAACCTAAATAGTTCTTTTGGTTCCTGAGATATGAATTAATTTTTAGTTTACGAGATACTAATAATGCGTGCACACATTTTCCCAAATTCCTTCTGGATGCCCCCACTTGTTTACTGTTATTTTTATTTTTAAGGAACCTGAACCCATAGAGGCTTGGTCAGAAACCTTGGAAGCAAACACTTCTCGCACGTGCATTCAAGTCAATACGCTAGATTCTAGCGTAATATTTGGTCAGTATAAAACACTACGTACATAACTTGCTAGAATCAAGATTAATATTGCAACTAAATTGTTTTATTTTTTATCAGGAGACGAAGATTGCCTCTACATGAACGTGTACATCCCTGAAGATACAGTGAAGAACCCAAAAGTACTCGATGTGATAGTTTCAATCCATGGTGGTGGTTTTATGGCGGGTAGTGGGCTTATCACTTTTAATACGTTACTAGAGAAAGACGCCGTCCTCGTATCTTTCAATTACCGTCTTGGTATTCTAGGTAAATGCTTCCTTCAGTCTTTGTCATGATTCGAACAGTCTTAACGTTCCAGGATTCCTCAGCATGGAAGACGGCGTCATACCCGGCAACTACGGAATGAAAGACCAAGTCTTGGCACTCAAGTGGGTCAGGGACAATATCGCTTCGTTCGGGGGAAACCCCGACACCGTCACCATAGTCGGTATATCAGCGGGCGCAATCAGCGTCCACCTCCACTATTTCTCTCCACTCTCTAAAGGTTTATTCGTCAAGGGGATTTCGAATAGTGGTTCGGTTCTAACACCGTTTGTGATCAGGGCGCCTCAGCACGCCATGAAACGTGCCAAGAAGCTAGGCGCTTTACTGGGCTGTCCTGACACTTCCTCGGAAGAACTGAAGAGCTGTCTTAAAGAGATACCAGCGCGAACGGTGACAGATCAAATGCAACATTTCTTTAATTTCGGCAACGTGGCGCCACCAACACCTTTTACTCCAATTGTAGAAAAGGGATCAGCAAACGCTTTCTTAGACGCAGAACCTTACCAGCTCTTGAAGGAAGGTAAAGTTCTCGATGTGCCTTGGATTACTTCCGTTGTTACTGCTGAGGGAGTGTTTCTTACGGGATGTAAGTAGGACGATACAATCAAGGTTTACCTTTTGCGTTACATGATGATTTAATCGCGCAAAATTGCCAAAGATAAATCAAAATACGTAATTTTTCAGTTTTACAGCCATTGTTGGAAGAGGTAAACGAGAGGTGGGCAGAAATATTTCCCGACGTGCTGGATTTGAGTGATAGTCTAGATGCATCACAAATAGAGACAGTGCCGAAGGAACTTTTGGACTACTATTTGGGAGCAGGAGAAGATATCAACAGGAAGAATTTCAAAAAATTTACGCAGGTAGATACACTTTTCCTATCAGAAAAGCAAAATTCATCTTCTTTAAATTCGGCGAAATTATTTCCTTTCAGATTGTCTCGGACAGGTATTTTGCAACCGGTGCGGAACTGTCGGCTAAAATGCAAGCCAGTGTAAACAAATCTCCTGTATATGTTTACTTATTTAACTACACTGAGGGTCAAAATAAAATGGATGTCATATATCCCGAACCTATAGAAGAAGGTAAGAGGTATTTTTAGGTAATTTATAGACTTAATATAAGCAGTTGTTTAACGGAGATCTGGATTCAATTCAAGGTCAAAGCATCAGGAGCTGGAACCAGGTGTCCAGCTGTCAAGGAAGGTCAGAGGAAGAAATTCTTGAAGGTGGTCGCCATCGGCAATGACCGGAGGTGGTACGGAAAAGCGACGACAGTGGGGTGGGTCAATGACTTCCAAGAACTTTCTCCTCTGACTTTGCTGGACATCGTCGCCATGGCTACTGGATATCAATGATAGCTCCTGATGGTGTGACCTCGAAGTGAGCGCAAATCCTCACTAAACAACTACTAACGTGTAACCAGATTAAGCGTTAACTAATAAAAATTGCGAACAAAACAAAATCTTCCATCCAATTCTGTCCACAGGCACAGGTGTGGCGCATGGTAACGACGGAATCTACTTCTATGGGATGTTGCGTACATATCCCTTCACAGAAAAGGATAAACGCTTGATTACTGCTTGTCATAACGCGTTGTACTCGTACGCCACCAGCGGGTAAATACTACATAAATTAATAATTCTTAAATGACTTATTTCCTTCATTATTATCGTGTTTAATAATTTCGCTAAAGTTTCCGAGATTTCACTGTACAGCCTTGGTAGTATTCTAAATTGTGAAAGGCTTTCGTATGATAACGACGTTAAAATCTATATGTCCATCGTTGTTTAAGATTTAACTGTGTATTTTTACTCATTTCTTTGCATTAGTGTACTTTGTTCAGATCATGTACGTTTAAATATTTTAATTCAACATTCTACATTTGTACTTTTCGGACTAATAATAAATAAATAAAATTTTCATTTTTTAGCATTCCTTCTTTCGATGGGTCAGACACCTGGCAACCAACGGGATCTGAAGAGTTGACTTATTTACTTGTAAATGGACCAGAAGACATGAAGCTGCAAAAGAGTGAAAGTTTGACTCCTGTTGACTTTTGGAGCAAGCTCGGACTCTTGGAATATGAAAAGGAAGTTAGAAAAGACGACTTATGTATTTCATAAACAATTTTAAATGATCCTTATGAAATATTCCGTATATTATATGTATGAAGTACATGCAAAAAAATAAAGAAAACAATTCATTAAATATTTTTCTTTTTTTAACCGTTACTATTATTATATCACTAAATGGTCTTTATAAAATGCATGTAAAATATTTACTTTGCATATTATAAGGGAAAATAAAATTAGGCCAAAAGTATTCCAATTCCAATTTATCCAAAAAAAATTGGAAATAGATGCGTCATGAAAAATGGAGCCAATATCGTAAACATTTGTAAAATCCTTATAGTTTCCGAGAAAAAAACATAGAAGTTGTAGTATTTTCAACCTTTACATGGCTGGACTACTGCAGTTTCTGGCGTCATTCGCGTTGTACGCTGCAAGCTATACGCCCTCTCTCCACGTGGTCGCAGGCGATTCCGAATACTGAAATCCGATTTTAATATTAACTTTCTTTCCGATAGTGTTTACATTAGTTTTTCAAGTGTTAAAAATGGCTTACGTGTATAGTTGATGGATATCGTTTTAAATTATGGTGAAGCAAGACCACGTTTGTGTTATGATGAAACATTTGTGTTCTGACGAAGAAAGACAACAATTGTGTTAGTTCATAGAAACTGGGTAAGACCAAATGTGTTTACACGTCGGTGGAAAAAATTTTGAACAGTTGTCAGTTGTGATCAGGTATGGCCAAATTATTTTATTAACTAAAACCACAAATTAATTAATAATGACAATAGCACCCGACAAATATTTTTTCGACGTGCCGAGACAAGAAAAATTGCGAAAAAATTTTTGTCAAATAATGAGATGATAAGGTGCCCCTTCTTTCTAAATCTGTGCAGCATTGTTGCGAAGATCACTTTGATGTAAGTAAGTACTAAAGTATTAATATTTATCTATTTTATATTAATTATTGGGCGTTTTGCTATAATGTTTATTTATCTCACAATGCTGTTATTAATCAAACTTGTTTAGTGATCACTGATCTACTTATCCAATGCTGTACCGGAAATTCCATACCTATATTAAAGGTACTGATAAATAGTCTTTTAAGTATTAGATTTTATCCACTTGTATACATATTATCTATCTGATATATTTCATAACAACGTGAAATTTGTGAAACTCCTAAAAGCAATGGTAACAAAAATCAGAGTTGGGCATAGTATTTTTCTACAGAGTACCTAATACTCAATCTTGGTTATGCTATTTCAATATTTGAGCTCGAAAGTTCAAGCAACAGGATCAGCCAGAAATAGAGACAACTGACGAACTGAATGTCATTTTTCGAAGGATATCTCCTTCTCATTTTTATCGGCAGAAATGTGCGAATAGACCTAAAACGACAGATGGCGTTCGTTCAGAAGTCGTCAGAGCGCTTATGATATTTTCATTAATCTTTGAAATGAATGTTTGGTCAGTACGGAGCACGATTGAAGTTGATACTCTTATTATATGTCTTTCGAACCATAATTCTCGAAATAGTTCAAACCTCAGAAATTCAGTGTTATTATTGAAATTCAATGTTTTTGTATTGGTCTAAGTTATTGCCTTTAGTTTCTAAATGTCAATCATTCAATCAGCGTTAACATTCCAGGAATCTTTAACGTGGAAGACGACGTCATACCCGGCAACAGTAGCATGATAGATCACGTCTTAACACTCGAGTATGCCAAGAACAGCCTATCAGCAGGTGACGCTAGCGTCCACCTGCACTGTTTCATTCCGATCACCCCAGTTCTACTCTTGTGAATGTGATAAACAAGATAAGTGGTAAGTATATATCTGTCAGATTTGTATCTAAGGATAGTCCATCTCGAAATGTTGTCTAAATTGGAATGTCTGTTGTTTGTTCTTTCGTTTGGGAACAGCTGTAAGTAACTATATTATATATTTTTCTGTATTTATTTTTATATTTTTTAACAATCAAGTATATTTTTAAAATAATGGTCACTATGGGAGTGACTGAAACAAAAATAATTTGCAAAACAGTTCGCTTTACATAAAGTTTTACAGTTTCGTTAGTAAGCGCTAAAACTTTAATCACATGTACAGGCTGTTCTGAAAATCCGTCAGGAAACTCCACGAGGTGATTGTAGGGATTAAAATAATAACAAAATGTAACAAATTTCTTTTTTTCTTGAGCTACCTAATTAGGTCCTAATTGTAAGAGTTTCGACGTATGGTATAGTTGTGTGTAACAAAAATTTAAACTTTTAAAAAACCATATCGAAACAAAAAGGTTTTCGAAAGTAAATATCAGATAAAAGTTGATGCTCTTGGTGATTTACATGCATGATTAACATTTTGGCATTTATTTCTAGGACACCCTGTAGATAAAGTAGCATTTTCTGCTCGAGAAAGAATGCATTTTTGATTTATTTTCATCTCTCGCAGTAAAATTGACTTCAGAAAAAAATAATTATTAATTAAATTATTATCTACAAGTAGCTGTAATATAATCGCAATTTATTGGGAAATAGAAATAGTTTCGTGATAATTGATAATTAGTCGCTCAAGGATTGTTATCCCTGATGGATATTGTTCACATTAAAAAAATGCTAATGCCCCGCTTTCAAGTATGTTGTTGTCTTTGTAGTGTAAATTATTATCAGTCAAAAAAGACACTTTAATTTATATAACGAGCGTTCAAATAAAAACGTGGTCGAAGTTGGCTCTGACACATTGGACGTAGGGAGTAGCTTATAGCGACCAACTTAACCTCATTTCTCAACGAGCTGTATAGCAGCTGTCAGTTTCAATAACGTTAATGACTATATAACTTTATTTTAAAGAATAATCGTGATAACAATAACAAACAATTAAAGGAGCTGCGGAAAGTGTCCCCCTCCTTGTTATAACAATAAATTAAAGCAGCTGCTGAAAGTGTCCCCCTCCTTGTTCCAAGCACTTTTCACACCTGTTCCTCAAAGAATTAAAGACATTTTCTAAGATGCTCGGGGTATTGTTAATTTCACGAATCTTGTCTATAAGTCGAGCCTGCAGATGGTTTAAATCAGGAATAGGCAGTTCAAAAATAGTGTTTTTAAGGTAAGGCCACAAAAAGAAATCACACGGCGTAATATCACATGACCTCGGTGGAAATTCATGTTCAGCATTGAGACTTATTAGTCGATTTTGGAAAACTTCCCTCAACATATTCATCGTCTCGCCTGCCGTATGTGCCCTTGCGCCATCTTGTTGAAAGTAAAAGTTTGTAATTTCGTTTTCTTCCAGCTGGTTAACAAAAGGAGCGATAATTTCTTCTCTATACCTTTGCGCAGTAAGAGTACCATTAAAAAAAATAGGTCCATAAATCCTCCTTCGATTGAGAGCACACCAAACTCCAATTTTTTGAGCGTGTAGAGGGCCCTCGACAAAAAAGTTATCTGGTTTTTCAGAAGACCACATTCTCATATTCTGTGAGTTTACGTAACCACTTAAATGAAACCAGGCTTCATCAGAAAAAAAGGTGATATTATGAAGTTCACCGTAGTTGTTTAAAAACCATTCACAAAATACAGCCCGTCGCGGAAAATCAACTTCATGAAGTTCTTGCTGACAAGTTAAACGATAGGAGAACAAACGCAAATCTTTTTTTAACACTGTGTGGCAGGTACCGACTGATACTCCCACCATTTGTGATAAAACACGTACAGAAGTTCTTGGCGCATTTTCCATTATTTGTTGGACATTTTCTTTTAATTCTTCAGTCCGCTTTTTAGGTCGGCCGCTTCCTTCTTTTCTTGTTACACTGCCCGTTTCACGAAAAACATTAACACAACGCTGAACTGCACTTTGAAAAATTTTGTACTCAACAACGCCGGGAAATTGATTTTGAAATTCTATGAAACATTCCTCAATAGAATACTTCCATATTCCATCAATCTTGCGTCCATTTCTAAAGTAGGACTCTATGATAAACACTTTTTGTTCTTGAGAAAATACCATTTTAAACGCTTTTTAAAACAAAAATATTCAAATTGATAGCGGCGATATAGCGCTTTGACAGATGACGTTTAAGTTCATTTGCTATCCGCTACGCCCTGCGTCCAAATTTTCAGAACCAACTTGACCACGTTTTTATTTGAACGCTCGTTATTTAAATTTAATTCGATGCTAGTTTGTTCAAGCCAGGATGATCTGCCAGAGATAGAGACGCCTTTGGGCAGAGTTCGGGGATATTGGAAGATTTCAGATGGCAGGAAATATGCTGCTTTTGAAGGAATCCCGTACGCAAAACCACCAGTGGACGATCTGAGATTCGAGGTAACTCAAAATATTTTCATTTTTAAGGACAATAAAAAGAATTAGTAGATTTTTAAAATTAAATCTTTAAATCAGTCCCCAATTTTTTAAGTAGAAGAAATAATATGAGCCTAAATCTGAAGAATGGTTCGTTTATGCCCATTCATGGCCATTTGAAGTAACAGTGTTATACGACAGAAAAAATAAAAAAGATTTTTAAAAAATTGCCCTTCACAAATTATTTTTACTACGATTTTAAAAGACATATACAGGGTGACCCATTAAGAATGGAAACACTCGCGTACAAAAGTTGTTTATGGACCGATTTGAACCGGTTTTTTTTTTAAAAGATAGATCTCCAAAAGCTCTATATTGATGCAAAATTTGAAGACGAAATTTTGATTTTCAAGGGCTACTATGAATTTTTTTATAAGTGAAAAATAGCAAAATTTTGTTAGCGATTTTTTTATAAAAAATCTGACTACACCACTGGATTTAGGAACCCCTCAAATGCATTTGTACCAATTTTTGCGAAAAAATGTTTGCCCATAAAAAAGTTATGACAATATCGGCAAAGCAGTGTTTGTTATTTAATTTTGTTTCCATTTGGGTTCTATTCGGTTTTTATAAAAGAATAGGTTCACCGACAACGGCAAACACTGGTGATGACGTACGCGAATGTTTCCATTCTTAATGGGTCACCCTGTATATACGAAAAAACATAAGAAGTACATGTTAATTTAAAAAATATATAATAGGACATGTCTATTCAATACACAATATTTTTTACAGAACTTAAATAGTTCTTTTGGTTCCCGAGATATGAGGAGTTAATTTTTAGTTTACGAGATAGTAATAACTAGTGATGCGCATAATCGGATGATTTGAATAATCGGAAAGTCGGTATTCGATTATTTCAATAATCGGATGATCATCGGAGTAATCGCTCAAATGATTATGGAACGGTATCAGGAACTTGAAACGGTATGTGGAACTGAGATGCGGCTTGTTCGACATATTCGCGGCCGCTCATATGTAGGGAAGATTCAGTACATCGTGTGTCGATTCTATTTACTATAATATTTTTACATTCGCAAATATAGGCGTCACGAATTTGATCGTTGTAAAATTAATTTTCAAACATTCTTGTCAATTGTGATATTAGGTTATTTTTAAGTAGGTATTTTATTTTATTTCTGTAAAATTTTTTGTATTTTTATGTTTATATTTTTATATAATATATTTATTTTGTGTTTTTTAAAATAGATAATAGTAGTAATAATAGTAATTGTAATAATAGTTTCAATATTTTCACCCCAATAATTTATTTTTATTATTAGTGATTTCTCCATTCATCCCCCAAAGAATTTAAATTTCGCGCAAATAGTAGTAAAATAACTCAAGGCGTGAGTCCACTGTATTCGCCTACTTTCCGTACACGCTAGGAGCTAGGACGCAAGAGATCAGATAATCGACGCGAGACCGATTCGACCGATTTATTATTCGACCACGGTTGGGGCGTCAGCTTCGTAGTCGGCTTCTCAAATTGACGATTACGTACTGATTATGTGATTCGAGTAGTGACCGATTATCATCCGAATTCTTTTTTAATAATCGGAAGGTTTCGATTATTTTTCATTCGGATGATCCCATCACTAGTAATAACGCGTGCACACATTTTCCCAAATTCCTACTGGATGACCCACTCGTTTACGGTTATCTTTACTTTTACTAATTTGCAGGAACCTGAACCCATACACGCTTGGTCAGAAACCTGGGAAGCAAACACTCTTCACACGTGCATTCAAGCTGAGTATACCGATCCTGATGATATATTTGGTCAGTATAAAGTACTAAGTGCATAACTTGCTAGAATCAAGATTAATATTGCAACTAAGTTGTTTTATTTTTCATCAGGAGACGAAGATTGCCTTTACTTAAACGTGTACATCCCTGAAGATTCCGTGAAGAACCCGAAAGCGCTCGATGTGATAGTTTCAATCCATGGTGGTGGTTTTTTGATGGGTAGTGGTCACACCGGTTTTAATGCGTCTCTAGAGGAGGATGTCGTGATTGTATCTTTCAATTACCGTCTTGGTATTCTAGGTAAATGCCTCTTTCAACCTTTGTCACGAATCAAACAGTTTTAACGTTCCAGGATTCCTCAGCACGGAAGACGACGTCATACCCGGCAACAACGGCATGAAAGACCAAGTCTTGCTACTCAAGTGGGTCAGGGACAATATCGCTTCGTTCGGAGGAAACCCCGACTCCGTCACCATAGTCGGCCTATCAGGGGGCGCAGTCAGCGTCCACCTCCATTATTTCTCCCCCCTCTCAGAAGGATTGTTCGTCAAAGGGTTTTCGCAGAGCGGTTCGGCTCTAACAACGTTCGCGAACAGGAAGAAGGCATTGGAACGTGCCAAGAAGCTCGCTGTTTTAGTGGGCTGCCCTGACAGTCCCTCAGAAGAACTGAAGAGTTGTCTTAAACATAAACCAGCGCGAACATTGATAGAACAAATGGTACATTTCTCTAGTTATCAGAACTTGGCGCCACCAACACCCTTTACTCCGGTTGTGGAAAAAGGATCTGCAAACGCTTTCTTAGACGCAGAACCTTACCAGCTCTTGAAGGAAGGTAAAGTTCTTGATGTGCCTTGGATTACTTCCTTTGTTACTGCTGAGGGACTGTTTATTACTGGAGGTAAGTAGATGATTTATTCGCACAAAATTGCCAAAGATAAATCAACATACGTAATTTTTCAGAGTTGTGGCAAAACTTGGAAGACATAAACGAGAGGTGGGTAGAACTATCTCCTGATCTGTTGGATTACAGGGACAGTATAGATGCATCACAAACGGAGACAGTACCGAAGGAACTTTTGGACTACTATTTGGGAGCAGGAGAAGAGATTAATAAGAAGAACTTCAAAAAATTCACCCAGGTAACGTTTCCTATTAGAAAAGCATAACGCGTCTTCTTTAAATTCGCCGAAATTACTCCCTTTCAGATTTTCTCCGACAGGTATTTTGCTGCCGCTGCAGAACTGTCAGCTAAGATGCAAGCCAATGTAACCAAATCTCCTGTATATGTTTACATATTCAACTACACTCAGGGTGAAAATAAAATGACCGACTTTTATCCCGGGGTAGAAGGTAAGTGACTGTTAATATAAGCAGTTGTTTAGTGGAGGTGTGGATTCAGTTCAAGGTCAAAGCATCAGGAGCTAGAACAAGATGTCCAGCTGCCAAGGAAAGTCAGAGGAAGACATTCTTGAAGGAGGTCGCCATCGGCAATGATCAGAGGTGGTACAGAAAAACAGACGGGGACCGTCGACAATGACCTCCAAGAACTTTTTCCTCTGACTTTGCTAGACATCGTTGTCATGGCTACTGGATATCAATGATGGCTCCTGATGATGTGACCTCAAATTCCCACTAAACAATTACTAACGTGTAACCAGAATAAGCGTTAACTAATAAAAATTGGGAGCAAAACAAAATCTGTCCACAGGTGTGGCCCATGGTGACGACGGAATCTACTTCTATGGGGTGTTGCATACAAATCCGTTATCAGCGCAGGATAAACGCTTGGTTACTGCTTGTCATAACATGTTGTACTCGTATGCCAACAGCGGGTAAATACTACATAAATCAATAGTTCTTAAATGATTTATAGTTGTTTTCATATATACTTCTGCAAAAAATTAAGGGAGCAAAAAAATTTTTCGAATATTTAGTGATTTTTCAGAATGCTGTATCTCAGTTAAAAATGATCGTATCAAGGTTTTAAAAAAAGCATTTTAAAGCGCCGAATGTCTAGTTTCCAGATTTCTTAGCTCAAAATTTTTAGGAGCGACAGTCATCGCGAAATTCTAAGAAATAAGACTAAAAAATTTTTTTTTCAATTTTTTGCGTTTTTTTTCTCGGTCCACGGGCTTGGAAAAATTTTTTACACAAAAATCATGATATGGACTTGATAGCCTGTTCATTCAGCTTTAATTTCTTTTTTTAAATTTTTCTCTACGTTAATTTGACCCGGAGATATTCGACTACGAATACAAAAGCATCCTTTTGGCTTTAACCATCGATATCTCAGCAACTAATGATCAGACAGAAAATTGACGGGCAGTTTCGAAATCTCGAATAAATTTCCTACAAGGCTATGTAGCGTTCTTGGAAGAAAAAAATTTTCTTTCATCCTCGACATTAACTTGAAAAAAGTGAAAAAAAGTGACTTTTTGACTTGTTTTGCTAAGTCGACCGCATCTTTGCTAATATCGATGGAGAGTCTAATGCTTGTACGAATTTTTACACCTCGATGTACCCCCAAAAGCTCCGTAAATGGGCAGATCGATCTATCGAACGGTTTTTCCGGACCGCTTAATCAAAATTTCAGAAAAATTTAAAGGAGCAAAATTTACATTTCTGAGCACCCTGTAACGTTCGTAAAAATGAAAAATTTGATTTTTTTTCAATTCTTTCACAATTGGGCATTTTTTGCTCATTGAATTTGAAAAAAAAAATAATTTTTGAAAAAAAAATTTTTTTTTTAATTTTTGAAAATTTTTTGAAAATTTACTCTTCTTTATTTTTTAACAACTCAAGATAAAAATATTGAGTCATTTTTGAAGCGATGTACTCTTTCCGTACCGTAATTTCCTTTATTTTGAATTAACGAAATTGATTAAAAGTTGATACCCCCAAGATTGGTGTAGTCCTCGATCTGCGAAAAAATAGTGCGTATTATCCTAAACTTTCTTACGAAGCTGAGCGACTTCTGGTGCGGATAAATGCCGTCTAGGCATGACAAAAATTAAAAAAATTGAAGTCTACAAAAACTTTTGATTAATTTTTTTCACTAGAATTACAAAAAATATTGTTAGTTTTGAGAAAAACTGTTGGTTGGTTCCTTTGAATCAAAGATAGAGTTTAAAAAAAAACTGTTTTTTTCACACTTGTTAGCTTCGTAAGAAAGTTTAGGATAATACGCACTATTTTTTCGCAGATCGAGGACTACACCAATCTTGGGGGTATCAACTTTTAATCAATTTCGTTAATTCAAAATAAAGGAAATTACGGTACGGAAAGAGTACATCGCTTCAAAAATGACTCAATATTTTTATCTTGAGTTGTTAAAAAATAAAGAACAGTAAATTTTCAAAAAAATTTCAAAAATTAAAAAAAGTTTTTTTTCTCTACGTTCCATCTCTCTGAATACTGTTCTCTAGTTGTTGATTGTTTAATATTTAACTAGTTTTTCTTGTACCTGTGTATTTTTACTCATTTCTTTGCATTAAAGTACGTACTTTATTCGAGATCTTTTACGTTTAACTATTTTAATTTAACATTTTACTTATAGAGGTCTTTTAATATCTCATGAGCCGCGAATTGCGCGAAAGGCGTGGCGTATCCCCATAATTCTTCTAATAAGCACGTTGTGAAAACATTGACTCAGAACTAGACCATGTGCATCATTACAAGTAGACATGAACTAAGGCGCTCGGGCATCAATAAAGTCAACTGGCGAACGTTCGTTATATATATTTTTATTGTTTAAATTAAAATAATAAAGAATAGGGCATTTTATTATGATATTTGTAATCGGATCAAAGGCTTGTTTACGCTAGAGCTCGAGAGAGACTGTGAATAATAGGTGCAATGTTTTTAGGATGTAGAATAATTTAGGCGACGGTCGGAATTATGTTTCTGCGCATATGAAGGTCAAAGCTCATAAGATTTTAAAACATCTCTACCNCGACCAACCATTATGTCACATTTTAAATACTCGTCTAAAACAACATGGAAAAGAATCTCTAATGTATGACCATTTATGATTACAGCAGACAGAATTTGTAAAGTACAGTTTACGCTAATATTTCCAATGCCCTTTAAAATTATTAAATTATTTTCTCTTTTTCCCGCAAATCGAGCAGCAACGCTCTCTTTAATTAGTGAGCATTCTGCACCTGAATCAAACCAAAATGAAAACGACTCACCACGGTGGATCAAGGACCCTGATGGAGCTGCCACTGTGCAAATATCCACCCGCCGTTCATTGGCATTTCCACTTCTGCTGTACGTTGAATTGTTGCCGGTTGTTGATGTACATTTTGAGGCGATATGTCCACTTACACCACACTTGAAACAAATAACAAGCGATGAGGTCTTCTTGCTTGCTACTGGGTTGCTCGATACTGACTCCGGTCTTCTTTTACCTGTTATAGACGAACAATTTGCCTGCTTATGTCCCAATTTTCCACAGGAATGGCATTTGATATGTGGTGAAGACTTAAATCGTTTACTATCAACTGCTCGCTGGTCTTGAATAGGCGCTGATCTTTTTCTAGCATAAGAAACAGCCCTCAACTCGTTTTGCAGTTGACTACGCGTCTTGATGTCTGTTGTAAACGATAACCGCTGAAGTCGACTATCGAACTGTGAAATATGCGCGAGAACAACCGATATCGCCACTTCTTCGATACTCAAATTTTTCCACTTTGAGGAAAGCGATGACAAAAGACGACTCGCGTACGAAGCTAAACACTCACCGTCCTTAGGACGACTATTTTGCAAATTAATTAAAGTTGCTGCCGATGTTTCAACACCGCCAAATCTTGCCAAAAAAAGGTCCTTAAATTCAGCCCAAGTCATTCCAGAATAACACACCTGAGATAGCCAGGAAGACGCGGTTCCTTGAAGAGCCTCACTAAGTGCGATAATAAGGGCACTGCCTTCCAAGGGTCGTTCCGTTAAACACATGTCCACCGTTGAGCACCAAGCGGTGGGATCCGCACTTGAATTTTCCGGACAGAACTTAGGTAGCGAAACACTTCGACTCACTGAGGATGGTTTAGTCACTGCTTTCATTAACTCCACAAGATTTCGATTTTGCATTTCTAGCAAAAGCCTGAATTGATCAGAGAAAAGTCCCGTAGACGATCCAGATCCCACTTCTGATGTCGCATCTTCACGAAATAATAAGTAATACCGTAAACGAAATGATATAAAATACAACGTTACAAATAAAGTACTCGAGGTGTTTCATGACAACAGCCAGAGGCTCGATAACGAATCCACGGTCAACAGAATAGCAATGTACTCACGTCTTCAATGCTCAAGTAGAACTCCCCTCCGTACCTCTCTCTGTACTTCTCTTTTATCGTCAGGTCAAAATTATTCTTAAATGAACCAATCAAATTCGTTATTTCCTAGGGATTCCCTTATAAAGTAATTATAAGGTAAATGCTTTCTATCTTCTGACCGCGGCTACGTTGAGTGACCCTTAAGTCTCCCCGAACCCAAGCTTGCCATCATAAAACTTGGGAATAACATAGCCGGCTTAATTCATAAATAACTATTTCTAAGTTTTATGGTCTAAGTACAGTTTATAAAAGGGTATTCCTCGAATAAAGTATTCTGGAATTTCCAAAGTCTGAAGGACTCGGCCTGTGAGAAAGACATCTCCGACATATATATATTGTTTAAATTAAAATAATAAAGAATAGGGCATTTTATTATAATATTTATAATCGGATCAAAGGCTTGTTTACGCTAGAGCTCGAGAGAGACTGTGAATAATAGGTGTAATGTTTTTAGGACGTAGAATAACTTAGGCGAAGGTCGGAATTATGTTTCTGCGCATATGAAGGTCAAAGCTCATAAGATTTTAAAACATCTCTACCAATTATTTCTGCTAACGTCGTGTAACTGGATTTGTTCCTGTCGGACTAATAGTAAATAAATACAATTTTCATTTTTTAGTAATCCTTCTTTCGATGGGACAGACACTTGGCAACCGACGGGATCTAAAGAGCTGACTTACTTGGTTGTTAACGGACCAGGAGATATAAAGCTGCAAAGGAGTGAAGGATTGACTTCTGTTGACTTTTGGAGCAAGCTCGGACTATTGGAAAATGTTGTTGTAAAAGGCGAACTGTAGTTTCCTTTCAGTATGTTATGTATTTTATAGACAAATTTAAATGATCCTTATGAAATATTATATTTATAAAGTGTATGCAAGGAAAAACTAAAAAAAAACAATTCTCTAAATATTATTCTTTTTTTAACTGCACTTCTGCACTTCTTTTTTCGCGTTGTGCGTTGCAAGCCATAAGCCCTCTCTCCATGTGGCCCCGGGCCATTCCGAATACTGAAATCCGATTTTAATATTAACTTTTTTCCGATAGTGTTTACATTAGTTTTTCAAGTATCAAAAATAGCTTACGTGAATAGCAACTCGGAGTTGATGGATACCGTTTTAATTTATGGTGAAGCAAGACAACATTTGTGTTATGGCGAAGAAAGACAACAATTGTGCTAGTTCGCAGAAACTGGGTAAGACCAAATGTGTTTACACGTCGGTGGAAAAAATTTTGAACAGATGTCAGTTGTGACCAGGTATGGCCAAATTATTTTATTAACTAAAACCACAAATTAATTAATAATGACAATAGCGGCAAAACCAGTTGCATTTGCCGATGTAAAATAGGTGTTATAAAATTTTCTTTCCTTGAGAAGGAAATTCTTTCAATTTTTAGTCCGTTAATTTTCTATTACAGTTTGCCGCCGTGCCGGTCAAGGTTTTACAGTGGACCAGCTTCCAGTGCCGTGCAGAAGTGTATTTTTAAATCATTTTCGAACTGCTCTTTTTGAACTTTTTTTTACAAAATTGATTTATTTCAAAACGAATACGGTTTTTAAGTTCTTCCAAATCACCTGGTCTGTTTGTGTACACACGCGATTTCAAATACCCCCACAAAAAAAAGAGTCTAGAGGTGTTAAATCAGGCGAACGCGGAGGTCACTCGATTGTTCCGCGTCGCCCGATCCACCGGCCAGTAAACGTAAATCAAATCGACCCGGGAATGCTTGAACGAAGTGTAGACGGCGTTTACACACGCTTAGGACAATGCCAAATGGTACAGGGTGGGCAATTCGAACAATTTCGCTAGACTTACACAAACATTAGTGTAATTTTACTCGTTTGAAATGTAATTTTGTCAACTTTGTCCTTTTCGGAGCCATTAATAGTGTAAGTAGACAATTATCACTTATAAGAACTTAAGGTGCATTTTTCTAAAAAAAATTGTTATGTAAGACATCGAAATTTTCACACCGTTGTTTAGATAATTATCACTGTCATCAATTTCGAACGAAAAAAATATGTGTTGTCATTAAAAAAAAATATGTCATCGCTGCCGTAAGTGGATTATCGAAAAAAAAAATTTCCACATAACAAGGTGCCCTGGATCAAATAAAAATCGACGGGTCTCACCGTTTTTCGAAAAAAAAAATTGTTTAACAAAAATATGAATTTTATGCAGAACTTTTTTACCACGCTGTATAAATAATATCCCATATTACAATATATTTATTACTATTACAGAAAAAAAAACACTTACAAATTTTATGATTTAGATATAATTCTATATTGAAAATGTATTGTGTTTGTTTGTTTTATACGCAGAAATAAACAGAATAGTCGCGCGGTGAACGCCTTCTAAAAAAACATCGCCTTCGTTGAGCGTACACGGATCGAAACGAAAAAAAAACTATGCCTAAAATTAAATCAAAAAACTACAAATACTGCATTGTACCTAGATGTACTAACACGACCATAAAAACACCCGACAAATATTTTTTCGACACGCCGAGACAAGAAAATTTGCGAAAAAAATTTTGTCAAATAATGAGATGATAAGATGCCCCTTTCTTCTAAATCTGTGCAACATTGTTGCGAAGATCACTTTGATGTAAGTAAGTACTAAAGTATTAATACAGGGTGTTCCTAAATAAGTGTCGCAACGGAAAACTGTAAATTCCTCTTGAAAAAAGAAACATTATTTTCCTCTTCCATTTTTCTCTCCGGACTTTCGTTTTCGAGATACACGGTGCCAAAACTTTATTTTTTTTTTAGTTTTTCGCCAATATCTTAGGAATCGTTTGAACTACAGGACTGAGCTTTTGTACACACATTACCACTATTAGTAGCTACTTTTTCGCACCCTTCTCGAATTCATTGGACGTTCATTGGAGATTTTAAGGTATTGTAAGGGTTTTTTCCCCCCCTAAATTTTACGCTGAAACTGGAAAAATTGACTTTTGACAGCAAATTCTAAAGCGCCAATGAATTTTATACAATAAGAGTTCCCTTGGTTCATTGCTCTAAAGTCAACCGTTTTCAAGAAAAATGACTTTTTATGAACAAAAGCGCCCGGAGAGAAAAATGGAAGAGGAAAATAATGTTTCTTTTTTCAAGAGGAATTTACAGTTTTCCGTTGCGACACTTATTTAGGAACACCCTGTATTTATCTATTTTATATTAATTATTGGGCGTTTTGCTATAATGTTTATTTATTTCACAATGTTGTTATTAAATCAAAATTGTTTAGTGATCACTGATCTACTTATCCAATGCTGTATCGGAAATTCCATACCTATATTAAAGATACTGATAAATAGTCTTTTAAGTATTAGATTATATCAACTTGTATACATATTATCTATCTGATTTATTTCATAACAACGTGAAATTTGTGAAACTCCTAAAAGCAATGGTAACAAAAATCCGATTTCGTTGGGCATAGTATTTTTCTACAGAGTACCTAATACTCAATCTTGGTTATGGTATTTCAATATTTCAGCTCGAAAGTTCAAGCAACAGGATCAGCCAGAAATAGAGACAACTGACGAACTGAAGTTCATTTTTCGAAGGATATCTCCTTCTCATTTTTATCGGCAGAAATGTGCGAATAGACCTAAAACGACAGATGGCGTTCGTTTAGAGCACGATTGAAGTTGATACTCTTATTATATGTCTTTCGAACCATAATTCTCGAAATAGTTCAAACCTCAGAAATTCAGTATCATTATTGAAATNATCCAATGCTGTATCGGAAATTCCATACCTATATTAAAGATACTGATAAATAGTCTTTTAAGTATTAGATTATATCAACTTGTATACATATTATCTATCTGATTTATTTCATAACAACGTGAAATTTGTGAAACTCCTAAAAGCAATGGTAACAAAAATCAGAGTTGGGCATTGTATTTTTCTACAGAGTACCTAATACTCAATCTTGGTTATGCTATTTCAATATTTGAGCTCGAAAGTTCAAGCAACAGGATCAGCTAGAAATAGAGACAGCTGACAAACTGAAGGTCATTTTCGAAGGACATCTTCTCCTCATTTTTATCGGCAGAAATGTGCGAATAGACCTAAAACGACAGATGGCGTCCGTTCAGAAGTCATCAGAGCGCTTATGATATTTCCATTAATCTTTGAAATGAATGTTTGGTCAGTACGGAGCACGATTGAAGTTGATACTCTTATTATATGTCTTTCGAACCATAATTCTCGAAATAGTTCAAACCTCAGAAATTCAGTGTTATTATTGAAATTCAATGTTTTTGTATTGGTCTAAGTTATTGCCTTTAGTTTCTAAATGTCAATCATTCAATCAGCGTTAACATTCCAGGAATCTTTAACCCGGCAGCATGATAGATCACGTCTTAACACTCGAGTATGCCAAGAACAGCCTATCAGCAGGTGACGCTAGCGTCCACCTGCACTGTTTCATTCCGATCATGCCAGTTCTACACTTGTGACTGTGATAAACAAGATAAGTGGTAAGTATATATCTGTCAGATTTGTATCTAAGGATAGTCCATCTCGAAATGTTGTCTAAATTGGGATGTCTGTTGTTTGTTCTTTCGTTTGGGAACAGCTGTAAGTAACTTTATTATATATTTTTCTATATTTATTTTTATATTTTTTAACAATCAATTATATTTTTAAAATAATGTTCACTATGGGAGTGACTGAAACAAAAATAATTTGCAAAACAGTTCGCTTTACATAAAGTTTTACAAGGTGATTGTAAGGATTAAAATAATAACAGAATGTAACAATTTTTTTTTCTTGAGCTACCTAATTAGGTCCTATTTTCTGCTCTCTTTCGTTCACTATTATCCACAACTAATTGTAAGAGTTTCGACGTATGGTATAGTTGTGTGTAACAAAAATTTAAACTTTAAAAAAACCATATCAAAACAAAGAGGTTTTCGAAAGTAAATATCAGATAAAAGTTGATGCTCTTGGTGATTTACATGCATGATTAACATTTTGGCATTTATTTCTAGGACACCCTGTAAATAAAGTAGCATTTTCTGCTCGAGAAAGAATGCATTTTTAATTTATTTTCATCTCGCTGTAAAATTGACTTCTGAAAAAAATAATTATTAATTAAATTATTATCTACAAGTAGCTGTAATATAATCGCAATTCATTGGGAAATAGAAATAGTTTCGTGATAATTGATAATTAGTAGCTCAAGGATTGTTATCCCCGATGGATATTGTTCACATTAAAAAAAATGCTACTGCCCCGCTTTGAAGTATGTTGTTGTCTTTGTAGTGTAAATTATTATCAGTCAAAAAAGACACATTAATTTATATATTTAAATTTAATTCGATGCTAGTTTGTTCAAGCCAGGATGATCTGCCAGAGATAGACACGCCTTTGGGCAGAGTTCGGGGATATTGGAAGATTTCAGATGGCAGGAAATATGCTGTTTTTGAGGGAATCCCGTACGCAACACCGCCCGTGGGCGATCTGAGATTCGAGGTAAGTCAAAATATTTTCATCTTTAAGGACAATAAAAAGAATCAGTAGATTTTTAAAATTAAATCTTTAAATCAGTACCCAATTTTTTAAGTAGAAGAAATAATATGAGCTCAAATCTGTAGAATGGTTCATTTATGCCCATTCATGGCCATTTGAAATAACAGTGTTATACGACAGAAAAAATAAAAAAGATTTTTAAAAAATTGCCCTTCACAAATTATTTTTACTACGATTTTAAAAGGCACATATATACGAAAAAACATGAGAAGTACATGTTAATTTAAAAAAAATATATAATAAGACATCTACAGGTTCGGAAAGTAGGTCCATCTGCCGTTACGTGAAAGCGATAAAGTAAGACATAGAAATCCATGCGATAGAGAAGGATGGCTATAATGAAGGCGTCTCATAGTCACCGCCCGAAGATCCACTTCTTATTTGTGGGAGGGCGAAATGGGCGGTGACTATTAGACGCCTTCATTATAGCCATCTTTCTCTATCGCACGGATTTCTATGACTTACTTTATCGCTCTCACGTAACGGC